ATGTCATAAATTACCTATTGGACATTTTGAACTGCATGTTCTACAGGCATATATCAAAGTTACTCAATGCATCCATTCCAGAACTCATTGTCTTTCTCCCCAAACCCACCCTTCTTCTGACCTCCCCTGCTACTGTACAGGGCCTCACCTTTGTCCAGATTTACAATCTCCTGTCATCTTTTTCTCTTTGGTCTCATTCACCCTATATATAAAACTAGTTGTCAAATCTGATTTCCATCTCCAGATCTTTCACAACCATCCCCCTCTTTCCCTTCTCATAGCCACCCCCTCTAGTTCAAACCGTTATCACTTTTCCCTGGACAACGATATCATTTTTCTAACTGATCTCCCTGACTCAGTTCTTTCCCAACTCCAATCCATCCTCCACGCAGTCAGTAAAGTGATGTCCAGGATATGGGGTGCTCAGAGAAGACTAGCGTGTCTGGTGTGGGCACTTGCTGCCCCCTTTTCAGGGCTGCTCATCCACCTTTGGTGTCCACCTTCACCCAAGTCTCACCTGTGGCTCCAAGAAGCTGTAACACGTGTAGTGGCCATACCCCAGTAAAACTGTCTCAGCAGTACCCAGGAACAGTCATGTTGCGTGATGACTAACTTTGATAGACTTAGCCCTTCTCAGCAATGCAAGGATCTAAGACATCTCCAAAAGTCTCATGATGGAAAATGCTATCCACATCCAAAGAAAGAACTGTGGAGTTTGAATGCAGATAGCTATTTGCTCTTTTTTTCTCTTCTGTTTTGCTTTTGTTTCTTCTTTCTTGTGGTTCCTTCTATTGCTTCTAATTCTTCCTTACAACATGACTAATGTGAAAATATGTTTAATAGAAATGTATATGTAAAGCCTATATTATATTGCATGTTATCTTGGGGAGGGAGGTGGGGAGGGAGGGGGAGAAAAATTTAAAACTCAAAAGCTTATGGAAGTGATTGTTGATAATCAAAATAAATTAATAAAAAAATAAATAAATTTTTTAAAAACTGTCTCAGCAGATCAGGTAAACTATGTTGAGGGTGACCAACAGGCCTCAAACTTGTCAATAAGTTAGGGAAATGTCTACCTCCCAGCACGTAAAGACTTTCCCTGGTGGAATGGGTGGATGAGAATAATTTGTTCCAATGGCCTCAAGGTGGCTGAAGTAGGCACTGTGGAGCGCTGAGAGCTTGGTCAGTCTTCAAGGACGTCAAAGTCATCCACTGCATCCCAGGCCATTAGGCCGTTGTCTTGACTTTTGTCTTACCAACGGACTTTGATGACTCTAGAAGAGATAGTGAGGCTGGCAACTTTGCTCAACTCTGCCTCACTTACATCCAATTTAAGCACAAGTCAAGACGTCACCCATACTGTAAAGTCATTGGTCGCCTTTGAAAATGAAGGATGGACGGACAACAAAAGTGATGTTCTCAAATGAAGGTCTGGCCATGTCCCTTCTCCCTTCCCTAAACTCTTCCTGTTACCTTTAGGGTCAAATATAAACTCCTCTGTTTGCCTTTTAAACTTCATCTTCTCCAAAAGTGCCCCACTGATGAGCTAGCATATGTGGTCAAGGAATCAGAAAGGGCTGCTCTGAGCATGCCCTGCTCAACCTCTGCTATACTGCCCTATCAGTCTTGTTATACATCATTCCCCTCTGTACACTGTTTGTTTTTCAGTCAATTAGAGTTAAGTGACTTGCTCAGGGTCACACAGCTAGTAAATGTCTGAGGTCGGATTTGAACTCAGGTCCTCCTGACTCCAGGGCCAGCGCTCTGTCCACTGCACCACCTAGCTGCCCCCACTTACTATTCCTCATATGCTATGTTCCACCTCTTGTGTCTTTGCGCAAGCCATCCCCAATGTTGCCCTGCCTCTTAGAAACTCTGGCTTCCTTAAAACACCACCTTCTCCAAGAGTATTTTCCCTTTTGTTCCACCATCCCCAGCTGCTAGTGTAATATAAGAATAAAATCCCTCTAGGATAACCTTGTCACTTTTATGTATTTGCATATGTACATGCTTTCCCCCATTAGAATATAAGCTTCTTTCAGGCAGGCACCATTTTTTTTTTTGCCTTTTCTTTGTAGCCCCAGAGCTCGGTACAGTGCCTGGCACATAGTAAGCCCTTATTAAAAACTGGTTGCTTATGTCCTCCTTACCCAAATGGGTAGTTATGTTGTAAGCTTTGGGGGCTGGCAACCTCTTCCTCATGACCTCTTAATTCTCAGGTGGATCTGAAAGGTATCAGCAAGGCCATGCTAGGGGATTGGCTCTTGTGACATTAGCCATAAGCACAGTACAAGGGGAAAGGGGTGTGTGTGTGTGTGTGTGTGTGTGTGTGTGTGTGTGTGTGTGTGTGTGTGTGTGTGTGAGATCAGGCAGACTAGTACTGGGAAATAGGGGCTTTTAAAGATATAACTGAGATACCTAGAGCCATCAGTTACTCATTTGGAAGGATTGTGCTTGTAAGTACAGAGCCCAGGGGTTCTAGGATAAGAGGCTTGGGAATTGAGAATGAAGGAGGGAAAAGGAGGAGAACTCAGCCTGCCTCCTGTTCACGAACTGTCACGTAGTTGGTCCTGGGATGCTCCAAGCTCACCAGTGTGGCCCTGACATCAAGCCCTTCCAGAAGAAGTCCAAACTGAGTAGCGATTCAGGCACAGATTTGGAAGGGGCCCTATGCAAATAGAAGGCACAGCTAGGTGGTGCAGTGGATAGAGTGACAGGCCTGAAGTCAGGAAGATTCATCTTCCTGAGTTCAAATCTGGCCTCACTCACTTACTAGTTGTGTGATCCTGGACAAGTCACTTCATCCTGTTTGCCTCAGTTTCCTCATCTGTAAAATGAGCTGGAGAAGGAAACGGTAAACTACTTCAGGGTCTTTGCTGGGAAAATCCTAAATGGGATCACGAAGAGTCAGACAACAACAACTATGCAAATAAAGGTGCCTATGTGTTGTGGGAGAAGGGATAAGGCAGGGAGGGAAGAGAAAGGACTATTACGGACTGTATTTGGACAGGAATCTAGTCAAATCTATGTTTACATTCTGTCTATACCACTTGTCCCTAGGAAGGAAGGCCCAGCTGTCAAAGGGGTACTGGGTGAGTGGGGGTCAGTTAGGTCCCAGACAGAATATGATGTGGAGCTGGTTTGTGTACCTAAGGACTCTCAGACTTGGGAATTCTACTTGGAGTTCTCCAGGAGATAAGAAGAGCTAACATTTATAAAGCACTTACTAAGTGCCAGGGGCAGCTAGGTGGCACAGCAGATAGAGCACCAGGCCTGGAGTCAGGAAGACCTGAGTTCAAATCTGGCTTCGGACACTTCCTAGCTGTGTGACCCTGGGCAAGTCATTCAACCTTGTTTGCCTCGGTTTCCTCACCTGTAAAATGAGCTGGAGAAAGAAATGGCAACCACTCCCCTTCCAAGAAAGCCCTAAATTGAGTCATGAAGACTCAAGACACAACTGAATAACAACAATAACTGTGCCAGACACTGGGCTAAGCACTTCACAATTATTATCCCACCTGATCCTCACAATAATCCTGGGAGGTGGGTGCTATTATTATCCCCATTTTATAGATGAGGAAACTGAGGCAAACAGAGGTTAAGTGACTTGCCCAATGTGAGCATCCGAGGCCAGATTTGAACTCCAATCTTCCCGAGTCCGCGTGCCACTTAACTGACCTCAGATTGTGGAAGGGGGCAGTTATTTCAGCTTATTCCTTGAGGTACAGTGTGGATGAGGTAAGGGGGTGGTTTCCTTGTGACAAGTCCTGACCCACCTGGGAATACTGATATTTGGAATGATTAGCAAGTGAGTTGAAGCAAGAGAGAGCAATAACTAGCTAGGTTGGCTTCCTGCCAAGGTGGAATGCAGAAAAAGGGGTGTGTGTGTGTGTGTGTGAGTGTGTGTGTGTGCGTCACTGGGCGCACAGGATCAGGATGTGCAGGGGTATCATGGCTTGGTCTCAGCATCTATGAGACTTTGTGGCATTGGTGGGTGGGTGGGGAATGACTGTCATTGTGCATGCTTTAGTCTCAAAGGGAATGAATGGATTGGAAAGGGTTGATTGATAGCTTCCCAGCTCTTACAGCTCAGTTTCCATGGAAGGATATTGGTCTGGGGTGGTCAGTGGGCACTCACTGGCAATGAGAGGGACAGGCTCTCCTCTATTAACTGCTGAATCTCTGGTTCTCTAACATCTAAACCTGGGAGGGAAGCGCTGGGGAGGAATGGAGAATGGTGGGGGGTGAGGGCCCAGAGCCTGACCAATGGATTCCCAGACCAGATGCCTTAGTCTTCTTTTCTCAACATGTTGGAGGAGGGGGATAGAGAGGCAGGCCTACCGCTGAAGGACCAGGCCCAGGGTCTGACCTACTCTGCTGGGCAAGCCCAGGCAGGCCAGCTCAGCGGGAGAGTGGGGATTCTGGCTACGACCTGGGCGCACACGAAGCCTTTGTATGCCCGTGGGAGGAGAAGCCCAGGACAAGGCAGGGCAAGGCAGGGGAGCTCCTCTCTTCTCATCTTTCCTCAGGGGCCCTATTGTGCTGCTTTCCCTATGGGCCACTATAGTAGTTCTCACCAATCACTGCCATGATGGAGGGGCTGCTTATACCAGGGCTCCAGAGTGAAAGGGCTTTCTGCTCCTTTTCTTTTCTGGAGATGAGTTCATCAGTTCACCTGGCCTTGCAAGTAGTTCTGTATAAATCCCAGAGCTCAAGCCCTGCAGAGAGGCTTAGGAGGTAGAGGAGGGGAAGTTCCAGCCTGGGTACCCTGCTCCCTCCCCATTCTTCAAAGCTCAGCTTTCCCCCATAGGAAAAGGTGTAAATATGTGTGTGTGTGTGTGTGTGAGTGTGAGATTCCCTGCTCCTCAAGGCCCTAGATAAGGCTACCCAGCCCCCAGGAGGAAGGTCATTAGTAACAAGATGTGGGCAACCACTTTCCCAACAAAACCCATGACCCCTCCCCTCCTTTACTATCCCTAAAGAAAGGAAAGGGCAATAACTGTTTTCAGTTCTTTTATTGTAAATAACTTTCCATGAAAAAGGTTAAATTGTCCCCAATGGGTAGGTGTGGGGTTGCAGTCCACTGGGACCCAGGCTGCGACAGGGCCCCTGCACAGCCCCATCTCTGAGGAGCTGCAGGGACCCCACCCTCCCCCACACCCACTTCCTATACCTCAGCCCTCTGAGCTCCAGTTCCATTGTGTCAGGGGTCCCATTCCCAGTTAAATCAGTCTACTCTCTCTTAGCTACAGCTACACTCACTACATTAGTCTGCTCCCAAGCCCTGCTCAGCTACCCCACCCCCCACCCCCAGGAAGGGGGGACTTGCCTGTGAATCCCAAATGCCTCCTGGACCTAGAGTCAAGCCTCTGATTCAGAAAGTCTACAATCTGCCTCAAGGGTCTGGGGCCGGAGGCCACTGCTTGACCCCACTGGCCTCAAGAGAGTATACATCCCCTTCCCCCTCAGCCCCAAAACTCCTTTCCCTTACTTCTGGCTCTAGTTTCATGGCCCCTCCCTGCATACTAGCCTTCCTCCTGCTCCTCCCCAGTCCTTGGCCAGGTCCCCATCCCCAGGAAGACCTGGCTGGGAGAAGCCTCCAGGGATTTAATTTGCTTTCACCTAATTAGCATCTGTTGTACCTGGGAGCTTTCCCTGGATAGAGACCTGGGGAAGACAGAAAGAGACAGGCAGAGATGCACACTGAGAAAGAGGAGACAGAACTGGGCCATCCAGACCTCAGGGCCTGCTTGCTGGAGGTAGTGGGGGGCAGGAGGGAATCTGGGGGCAGCAACACTGTGTATAAAGGGATTCCTGGTTCCTCCGGGTTCTCGGATGGGTTTGGGTCCCAGGGGCAATCTTGCCTAGGGGCAGCATGAGCCTGGAAGTTGTCCCATCCTCAGAAGACCTGTCAGTGCCTGCCTGGGAGGAGAAGGCATGTCCTTGAGGTTCCTATTTTGAGGGAGTTCTGGGCCCTGATTCTGAGGCTTATGTCCAAAGGTGTGGGGAAGGGAGGGTTCCAGCCTTTTACAAGAAGGCACCCACACTGGCCCACTCGTTTAGGTCAACAGCCAGGGTGGCATCACCAGCCTCAAAGAGGGGCTCTGGGGGTAGGCAGCTCCCATGGCTCTCATCCCAGGGATGCTGCAGGAAGGAGGTGGCCAAGAAGGTCTCATCAAAGTCCAGTCCATCCGTGGCTGGCTCAGTGGAGGGGCCCCAGGTGGCAGGGCAGTCGATGTGGTGCCCATGTACTGTCAGGTCGACACTGCTGCGGTCGGCTGGGCTCAGCGGTGGGCTCAGATCCAGGGCCTCCAGGGTGCCCAGCTCCCCACCTAGTGTGCCTGCATCAAAAATGGCCTCCCAGTCGAAGTCTCCCTTGAGAGGCTCGAGCTCCCCCTGCTCCTCCTGGCTCAGCAGGGTGGTGCTGCTGGGCCGTGGTGCCTTGGCCACTCGCTTGGGCAGAGGCTGCTTGCGCTTGTGCCCGGCCCGGACCTCGCCTGCTCCCCAGCCTGTCTCACCACCGGTGGCCTCCTCAAATTCTCGCAACAGCTGCTGGGCCTCGGGGTTTATGGCCAGGGGTGTCACCCAGGTGCCCGTCTCGGGCTCTTGGGGGGTTTGGCGGGCAAAAGCCGGGTGGATGTGGACGGGGGGCAGCCGCCGCTTCTTGAAGGCACCGCTCAGTAGCCGCTCTGCGTACTGGGGGTCAATGCGCCAAAAGCCACCCTTGCCTGGCTCATCCTTCTCCCGAGGCACTTTGATGAAGCACTTGTTCAGGGACAGGTTGTGGCGGATGGAATTCTGGGCAGAGAGAGAAGGGTCAAGGGTCAATGGGGGAAGGGAAAGGAACCAGAGCAAGGGGAGAGGAGAGGTAGCACATCCTCCTTTGGGCTATGGTCTCCATAAGGCAATAGAGCCAGGGAAGGGGAGCCCTCTGGCCTGACTCTCTGGCTCCCCGCTCCCAGACCCCAGCTGTGGGACACTGGGAGCTGGGACACTGTTGGGGGCTTTTGTTTCCTGTTGCTGGGATATCTGCCTGCTCAGCCATCTGAGCTCTGAGCCACAGGGTGGCTCTGAGTGCCACCCGCCTCCAATCCCACTCCCTCCCTTTCTCCTGCCGTTCCCCGGCCCTTGGCCAAAACCCTCAGCTCCCCCAGGGTCTGGACCTGCTGTCACCCTCTGCCTACGGCTGGCAGGACCAGGCTGTTTATGGTTGGAGGCTGGAAGAATGAAGACATATCTGCACAACAGACTCTGTGTGTGTGTGTGTGTGTGTGTGTGTGTGTGCGTGCGCGCGTGTGCGTGTGTGTGTGTGTGTGTGTGTGTGTGTGTGTGCGCGCGCGCGTGCGCACGCGTGCACATATGTGGGGAGGGTTGAGGGTGGGGTGGGGCAGGGCTGAGGACCCAGGAACTTTCACTATTTGCTAAGCCTTTGGCTGGCCCAGGTCCTTAGCCTCCACAGCCCCCTTCCTCCCACCCACCAGCCTCAGTTGATTATTATCCAGCTAGAAACATAGCTCTCATTCCTGGTGCCCCAGCCTCTCCATGCAATTGGGTTGGGGCTCTGTCTCACACTCTCCTACCTCCCCCACCCTGTCAAAGCTCCAATTCTTTAGATAGCAACTGCCTGGAAGTCAGGGTTCAAACTTCAGCCAAGTGTGAATGGCTTAGGATTAGGAACCTAATGTCTGCCCCCCTCACCCCCCTTACCTCCACCATCCACTTTCTCCCAGGCTTGAGAGTGTCTACACTGCTTTTGGGGAAGGAGATTCAGTTCCTTACAGAGACTTTCAGGGAGAGACCCACACTAGCCTAGGTGGAGGAAGAGTTCTCTTGGGACCTTTGTTGCCTCTGGGGCCCTGATCCTTCTGCTGAGTCTAACCTGGTCCCTGCTCTATCATCCTTCCTTTGGTCCCTCCCTCCATAGAGCTCAAGTACGTCTCCAAACCATGGTGTTCCACTTAGGGAAGCAGGACCCAGGGCCTGCCTCTGTTGGAAGGTGGGGTGTAGAATAGTCACAGAGAATGTCAGAGGTGGAAGGGTACTCGGAAGTCACCTATTTCCACACAAAGTATGAACCCCACCCCCACCTCTATAACATCCTAGACAAGCGGTTGAACTAATTGGGGAACTCACTACCCTTTAAGCCAGCTCATTCCATTTTCCAACAGTGGGTGAGCAGTGCTGCCCTGGCAAAGCTGTTTACATGGTGGCCTTGGCCCCCTGGCTGTGCTATGTCAAGTTCCAGAGCCTTGGAACAGTTAATAAGAGCCATAGGCAGATCCCCCGTGGGGAGCATCTGGCCCAGGTAACTGCCCCCCCAGGGAGAGTAGGAAGAGAGAGAAAGGGGAGGAGCTGAGTCAGGAAACTGGGGAGAGGCCTCCAGGGGGGGTCTGCAGCTACAGGAAGGGCACACATTCACACAGCCAGGAAGGGTGCATATATACACATCCCAGAAGGGAGTCATAGCTTGCTTCTCACACCTTACTGCTTCCCTCCCTCCCCCTGAACAAACACCCCCAAAAGTCCAGCTTGTCAATTTCAAAATGGAGCTTGGGGAAGATAGTGGTTAAAAAAAAAAGGAAAAAAAAGGTGTTGGTTAGGACTGGGAATTCTTAAACCTCAGGGTTCAAGTTCTTTGGAATCCTCAGACACTCATGTGACCTTGAAACAAGGTTCTAGGCCTTGGATAAAACTTCTGCCCATCCTTGGAATGATGTCCCTGAGCACACACACTGACTCTTCCCTACTAAACACACCAAGTGACTTAGAGAATCTAAATGACGGCAAAGTTCACACTTCCCATGTTCTCTAAGGAGGCACTGTTCTGTTCCTTCTGGTCCAATTTCCCCTACCACTAAGACCACCGGGGGCCCATACTGTCCCAATTCTGATCCAAACTCCAGATCAGAAATCTGGGAAATCCAACCTTCCAAACACCTGAAACAAAGATCCAGGCCCAATTCAGATACCTTGTTGGAAGGACCGCACACACTTCCAGGTGTCCTAACTAGGAGAAAGAAATGCCTGGTGACAGCTTTCCTGCCCACTTTGGATATGGGGAAGAGGAGAGAGGGAGAGTAGAATGAAGGATGAGTTGAGTTGGTACCACAGAAGGGTTGGGGTTAGTCCCTAGTGTGGAGGGGAATGGGAGTGGGGGAATGGGCCCTGCCTGAGTGCCCTCCCCTACCTGCCATGTGGGGTCAGCATGGCGGAAGTAGCAGAAGTTATCAGTGATCCACTTGTAGATGGCAGAAAGCGTGATCTTCGTTGCCTTGCTGGCCTGCATGGCCATGCAAATAAGCGTGGCATAGGAGTAGGGTGGCTTCACGTGGGGGTTGGTGGCATAGTCCACATCGTCGGGGGGTGGGGCCTGCAGCCCAGCAGGAGCACTCCGAGAAGTACAGGAGGAGGTGGGCTTCCCCGGGGTGTGTGGCTGTCCCAGGCAGGCGGGATCTGCAGCCAGGGGTGAGCCAGGGGCTGCTGAACCTGGCACCTGGTGGTAGCCATGGGGGTCAGTCCCCCCAGGGGGCAGGGAGGGGGCCTTGGCGTTGAGGATGGAGAATTCCTGCAGCCACTGCAGGCTAGTCAGGCTGTCATCCAGGCCGCTGGGTTCCTCCAGACCGCCCTCCTCCACCGCCCCCGCTCCAGAGAGACGCAGCCAATTCTCTGCCATGTCTGGGGGGGCCTCCCCGCGGGTGAGCTCAACATCCAAGTGCAGAGCGCCGGGACGGTCCTCCTGCGTTCTCTGGCCCAGTGACCGCGGCTCCGCTTACAGGGTCTCCCGGGTGGCGGTGGCGGTGCTTAGATCCATCCCGAGCCTTCCAGGAAACACGTCGGGTCGGTCAAGCCTGGGAAGTGGGTGGGTGGGTGGGACAGAGCTAAGCACCCCTCACCCCGGGGGAGGAGCAGGAATCGAGCCCCGGGGAGGTGTGGGTTTTCGTTAAATCGCCTTGCCAGGTAGGGACGGAGGTGGGGGTGGGTGGGTAGGGAGCAGGGGTAGAGGGGCTTCTCCCGTGTCTTGAGCTGGGATAAAGAAGGCGAGACACGGAACACGTCGGGTCCAGGATGAGTCCAGCCCCAACTTCTGAAAGCCCACCCCGTTTTTCTCGCCTTCTTTTTCCTGCCCTGAAACGCGCTAGGGTGGACTTTCCTAGCCCAAAAGGTGCGGGGGCAGGCGGTCCGGGCCCCCTGAGCTTTCCCGCTTTCTTAGAAGAACGGGCATCCAGTGGGTTCGCCCCCAAACCACAGCAGAAATGGTGGAGAAGGGAGCAGGGAGCCAGCTCTACAGGGAGGGAGGGCGGAAAAGTGAGAAGGCAAGACGGGAGAAGCCACAGGGACAGCTGGGGACTGGAGCAGAGACGGGCGGGAGGACTTGGCCCCCCAAACCCGTGAGGGCGTCGGCCCCTGGGACGAGGAAGCCCGCTTAGCACTGGCTGCCCCCTCTGGCCCCTGCCCCAGTCCTCCCTCCCGCCTTCTTCCCTCTTTATTTTTCCCTCCCCGCTCCCGCCCCTTACCTGGCTCAGAGCGCGGCCCCGGCCCGAGGAAGGTTCTGGAAGGAAAGGCCCCCCCACCCCGCCCCCCGCCACTCTCCGCCCCCAGCTCGTGGCCCCGCCAGCGCCCCTCGTCCCACCCCCCCCTCCCGGCTGAGCTTCTCTGAGCAGTGGCGGCCCTGGGACCGGCATTAAGTAGCTGCTCGGGAAGGCTTCTCTTGCTGCCATGGCGACGCCCCACCCCCATAAACAGCTTCTGCGGCAGCCATAGGTCCGCGCGTCTCCATGGAGACCGCGGGCACTTGCCACTCTCAACCCCGCTACCTCGCTTCGAACTCAGTACTTCTCGGGCTTCACCCCGCCCCCTTCGCTCCGCGCATTCCCGCGCCCAGCTCCGTGGGCCCCGCGCTGAGAGCTGGAGACCCGCGCAGCTCCCGGCTCCCCGCCTGTATTCCCGGGAGGCCGCTCTACCTTTTCGCCGGTTGCCCCCTCTCTCCGCCCTGCTTGCCTGCAGGTTGATGAGCTCAAAAGTACAGGAAGCTCCTTGGGATTGAGCTTCAGGCGCGGGCTCGGGGCCTCCTTCTCTCTGCTGTGCGGGACACTCGATCAAGCTCCTGCAGCCTTCGCTGCTCCCCTAGTTCTTTTTCTGTCCCCAGACCCTGATCCCCAGGGTCATCCAAGGTCTCTGGCATGTTTGTCTCTCCGATGCCACTACTCAGGAACCAAGCAAAGCAGCAGACCGGAGTAGAGCTCAGGGGCATTATCCTCCTTTTTGCCTTGGCCAGCCAGCTAGGGAAAGCCACCACCGTACCCTTTGTCCACCTCTCCCCTCCCCTAATATATTAGTGGGAAGGAGGCACAAGACAGCAAACCTCAAAGAGCAAGGGGAGAAACTCCAGTGTACCTGTAGTTTCTTAACTTTTGGCAAAAAGGAGCCCCCTTCCCCCTCCCCTCTATTCCTCTGGCCTCACCCTAGTCAGTAACATTCCTGCTGTTTAATTATTGAAGGCCTCAGTGTGCTTAGAAGCTCTCTAGTTTGCCTTAGCAGAATCAAGGGTCGGGGAGGGGTGTTACACATCACACAGGCCTGTACAGGGAGAACTGGGGTCATCTGGGGGAGGGAAAGGGGAGCTGTTGCCCAGGAGGTTGGTGTGGAAGCTCTGGGAAAGGCATGTCAACTCCCACCAAGAACCATTCCCTCCCCCCTATACCTTGACCTCTTACTCTTCCACATCTCCTACCTCCAGGGAACCTCTTTAGTAATTGCAGGATGTTTTGAGGAAAGCAGTACAAAATCTCTCACAAGCAGGCCAAATTCTCGGTCACCAGCTGCCCCTTCCTCTTGTAAACAGTTTTATTCACTTTTGAGAACCATGCAGCAATCCATAAACATTGCATTGTTGACGTGGCACCTGCTGCATACCTATGTACGCTCCCTGAAGGCAGCAGGGGATGCATACACGCTGTCACCAACAGTAAGCACACAAATACACACACACAAAGTGTGCAAAGTCTCCAGGAAACATCATGCCACTTTTGCACCAGCCCCAGTATCACTTTGAAATAAGATACTTTCTTGGTTATGAAAGTGCTCCACATGCACTAAGAGCTCCCAGAATGATGGGGATTCCAGGTGGAATAGAACTGGGTTGCGAATGGGAGAAGGAAGAAAATGTCTTGGTGAGCAAATCAAAGCCATCCCATCCCTGGAAAGTAACAGGATGGGAACAGAATGAGGTGTAGCAAGGGAACGATTTGCTGTTCTAGCTCATCTTATTCGAGTCATTCCTTATCCCATGGCTCCCAACAGACCTTCCTTCTTCCCCCATTGGATCCACTACAGAAGAGGGAGGTGGCCTCCCTCTGCTGGTACTTCTTGACCTGCCTTTTTCACTCTCCCTCTTAGAAATATCGTGGTTTTATCCCTGATGTGTTTTCTTAACCTGATAGGGTCCAAGTATGTTGGTACTGTTGCTTGGAGGTGGGGTGAGCTTTTCAAAGCCAGGCTGGCAAGTACCTCACGTCTTCATAGGATGGATTTTGTCAGGTCCTCCTGAATGGAATAACTACCTGCCAAGTATCTAAATGGGGGGGGGGGCGCGGGCGGGAAGGAACTATCTAAGGAAGAAGGGGCTAAGAGGCTGTTTCCACCACATTTACATCTTGCCGGCTGGGGGTGGAGAGACAGTTTTGAAACAAGGAAAGGATTACTACTGCCTTTCTTCAGGGACATAGCCTTGAGTTTCTTGCTGGCTACTTGAGGCAGAGGGATGAGCTGTAGGTTCTGACACCCCAGCATCAAAAGACACAGGTAATCAGTAAAAGGAATGAGGATATTTATTTTGGTCTAATGTTCCTGGCTGCCTTGGCTACTGTTTAACTGTTGTCTCCATTCAGCCATCTCCTCCCCCCAAGCATCCTGTTTAACACTACCCAGTGACTGCTAGAGGTAGGTCTGCATATTCACTGATGTAACCACCCAGATCATATAGGCCTAAGAAAAGTGATAATTGCTTAATGATGCTTCTTTTAATTTTTGCTTTAGGACAGTGATTGTGGTTCAGGTAAGAGACCAACATACCAGCCAATCCACTTCTACTGGGGTCTTTTGGAGACATGTTAAGAATTACTGATTCAAAACACTGCCTCAGGTATTAAGCTTTTGAGCTGTCAAGCCAGAATCAGGAATACTAGAGAAAAAAACCCCCCAAAAGAAATACTGGTTTGGATCTACACCTGGATAGGTTTCTTATACCTCAGGGAATGTACAGTTAGACCACTAGGTTGTACACAGACCTCTCCTAGGGCAGGAAACTATGGGGGAAAGAGGGGAGTTGAGGCTCTTCTCAGGGTTCCAGGTGTTTAGAGCATGGACTTGCATAGGCTTTCCAGCACAGGAGTACAAGAGAGCTCCCCCAGAAAATAAATATTCCTCAAGGACACCTGTGGCCTGTCACTGGAAGCTTTACTTTTCCACATTCCCTACCCACTCTCCCCCTACCACAAGAGCCTATGATCTCTCTTTTAAATGCTATTAACTGAACAGTATCCAGAACTCCTCCAAATAACCCTGATGGGGCAACAGGAATAGACACCTGGCTTAGAGGCTAATCTTTTTGGTTCAGGACTTTATTGTATGCACTTATGTTCCAAAGCACCTCATTTGACCTGAACTATATTGCAATCCAAGTTCTATGTAGTAACAGACCTGCTCTTCCATTGTACCTCTTAGTGTCAGCTAAGGCTAAGCAGGAAGGAATGTAAGGGGGAAGCCCTGGAGGTGGAGGAGGCCTGCTCACTCCCTTCATATAGCTCGAGTGAGTTCACTTATGCTACACGCCTCTCCTCTCCTCCTCTCCCCTCCAGCTATTTGAGGCTCTGCTTTAGACCCTCCTTCCTTTCCCCACAGTTCCTGGTCACTAATGTGAAAAACACTGGTACATACTACACACATCTGGAAGGAGGATGGCAGACCTTCGTCCGTGTATATTGCCCAGGGCACAAACAGTTGAGAACATAATGTCAAGGTTCCCCATAAAGAAGTGGTCTTGTCTACAGGACAGAGCACAAAGAGGCAAAAGCTAGACTTCTATGGTAAAAAAGACTCAACCATCCCACTGGATGCCACTTTTCAGAGTAGGTGGAGGAACTGCTTCAAGATAGCTTAGTACCGCATGCCTTCTTTGCTCTGCCATGGATGAGGGCTAACCCAAAAGGAGAGTTGCCAACATGGTTTAATTGTGCTGGAGGTCAGATAATGTAACATGGGTAAAGGAAAGTGAAGCAGCCAATTTTCTGAGCCTTCCTGCTGTAAACCTAAGGAGAAAAAAGGAGACCAGGCAGCCAGCCCACAGACTCTGTTCTACCTAAGAGAGGAGATGGGGCAGAAGTCTGTGAAAAGGCCATGATGAATCACAGTTCATCAAACTGACTTTAGCTCCAGGTAGAGGGACTTCCAGTCTGTTCCAAGTGGAGATCCAGGGAGTAGGAGAGGCTGGGCAAGGTGTAGAATGACCTTGACATCCTGTTTTACACACAAATATAAAAAGTCAGCACAGGTCTTAGTGGGAATAGCCAGGAGGTCGGCAGTCCAGTGGGGGACACATTGGAATGTGAGGATGGAAAAAGGGCCCTGTGACAGGGGCTAGGGCTCTTCAGACAGCCCTTCCACAAGGCTCATTCTCAGGGTCCTCCAGGCTGCTTGATGAAGAGTGCCAGCACTGGCTGTTCCTGCAACCGATAGCATTGTTGTCCACATGCCAGGTGCCTGGGGGAGAGAAAAGGAGGGTTATTGGAACCAAGCCTTTGCCTGGGTCCATAGGGCTTCTCCAACATTGGCAGCACAGGAGTACAGCACTGAGGGGAAGGGCATTACCTGAAGCTCCAATGACTGGAACAATGGAGGTGGAGGTATGCCCCTTCCAATTAACAAGCCAACAGTGATTGAAAGAGAGGCAGGGAAAATCAGGAGTAAGAAAGAAGACAGGTACAGGGGCTTGCCCCCTTTGGGAATGGTCTATGCTATTGTCACTGGGGAAGAGGCTGACAGGAATATAGAAAAATCTCTAAGTCTGACACATTGAACCCCAGATCCCCTAGAATAACAACAATCTGATATCTAAAAGATGTCTACTTCTTGTGGGCCAGGGGAATGAAACTCTGGAAGCTGAGATTTCCAGTCAGGGCAGGAAGGATGAGAGGAGAGTGAGATGTGTATGTTAATTTGGGCCTGAGGTGCTATTGTTTGCAGAGAAGGTACATGTGGGGAAGGAAGTGATAAGTAGCTATGGAGGGTGTCAGAGACAGGATGGTGTCAGTAAGTTCTTGCAGGAAGACAGCTTAATGGCTTCCAGTGTTCCCACTGACATGGCTTTGCTTCACACCACTCTGACTGTAGACCAGAGCCTGCTGTTCACAGCACGGTGTACTCCCTACCCCTCCACTGAAGTAGCTCTGGGGACACTGAACCAGCCTACTGAACCTAGTTAAGTAGGGGGACACTGGTTTAGGGCTCATGTGAGTGCAGAAAACCTGAGGCAGAAAGAACACTGGGCTTAGGAAGATGGCCTAGCTTTAAGCTCTGGCCCTGACACTAGCACTGTGACCAAAGGCAAGTCCCTTAATCTCTGTGAGCCTCAGGGTTGTTTGTTTGGACTGGACCTGTGACTTCATTCCTCCCAATGAAATAACTCCCTCCAACAATGCAAATCCACATCTGCTTTCAATTTTTTTTCCCCTTAACTTTTTACTGAGTTGAGGTGGGGGGTGGGGTGGAGGTCAAGGCAGACCTTAAAACACAAGTTGTTTTTTTTTTTTAACCCTAGGGCCAGGTCTTTAGCTGCCACACCAAGCTGCTTTTCCCTTATGCTTCTAGCCTCCCCACCATAACTCTCTATCTATGTTGTATATTTAGTGTGTATATAGTTATTTATGAACTGTCTCCCTCGTTAGAATTTAAGCTCCTTAGGGGCAGGGACTTTTCCCCCTTTGTACCTCTTAGCACAGTACCCGGCACATAGTATGTGTTAAATAAATGCTTGTTTATTGACTGACTGAAGCTGCCTCAGTTTACTTATCTGTAAAAGGGGAGGGGGAAGAATACTTCATCACAGGGCTGTGAGGACAAAATGAGATTATATATGTGAAAAGGCTTTGTAAATGTCAACCACTGTCGGTTGTATAAAAGGGCCCTGCTATGTCTGACTTCCAGGGATGATGCCAAAAAATTCAGCCAAGTCTTCAAGGTCACTATGTGACCCTAAAAGGGGAAGTTTTCCTAATCAGAGAACATCAGGATTGAGCTGTAGAGTTTTAGGGGCAGCTGTGACCCATTTCAACCCAAGAGGAAAATGGTTTTGTTTATTTCCCACAAAGGCAGTGTTGCACAGTGGACACTGAACTGGCCTCAGAGCCAGGAAGGCCCAGGTTCACTGATCCACACTGGCTTGGTGACCCTGGGCAAGTCACAACCTCTCAGCTCTCTAGGCAATGCTCCAAGGCTTGAAGTTTGACCTGCTTAAAGAGTTTCTTCATTCAGGAGTTCCCTATGAAATCACATATTTAGTTCCATTTCCCACAGAATTCCCTGGGTCAGTGTTGATTCTAAAGTGTTCTGGGCTTAGGCTGGTGGATCCCATGGGAAGAGAGATAGGAAACAAAGGAAATCCTTAAGGACTCTTCATAGCTGGATTTGGGGATCTTTGTTCCCCGGGGGAATGAAAGACAGGGAGCCAAAGATGTGTGGGTAAATGTGCATGTGTATGTTTGTATGTCCCTAGAGAGGTGGCAGGACAAGAATAGGACCGTACTGCCTTCTGAGCAACTTAAAAGCCCCACAATGAGTTAGTTATTAGTTATGCTTGTTCAGATACATGACTTGGTGGATTTCATACCTATTCCTCAATGTCTATGGGGCAGGATTCCGGAACCTCGGCTGTTCAGTAGGAAAGACCAAAAGCAAATGGTAAACAAGAGAGAAGACACACAAGCATGCACAAAATAAAAATACCAGCAGTAACACCACCACCACACCATGAGAGGCTTAGGCTCAGAGGCTACTGAGGAAGCGACCACATAGTTGTGACTGGACACCTTCATGAGCCTTAGTGACAAATTTCACTCTGAATAGGTCCTTGAAAAACCATACCTGTGGTTTTCCTAGGGAAAGGAGGAGGGAAGAAGGGCAAGATTTCTGTAGTGGTATTAAAGGATTAGGGTTGAAAATTATGATGTCTGTCTTCCCCTGGCCCTCATTATACCCTAATATGACGAGGAAAGATTTATCGGGACCAGGGCAGTGCCTTGTCTTCTGAAAAGGATTCCGCAGAGCCCACCATTAATTTCCCCAGTGGCTTTCTCCTGAAACTCACTCAGATGGAGGGACACCTACAGAAATTAAATCTGGAAGGCTGGTATAGAACCTCCTTTAGGAAGGGGGTGGCCATTTTTGTCTGGCTGACACTCATTTCCTTTAGCCCATCACAGACTGGGAAGAAGGGGGGAAAAGGTAGCCAGGGCTGCTTGCCATCCACCTTGTTTTCTCAATTAGAAGTGGGAGGACAAAGTGACCTCTAGAGGTGGACTTGGGAAGTACACTTAAGGAAGTACACTCCATAGATTCCTTTTCTTCACACACAAATATAAGCTTTTAAAACTCTGGCCTCTACAAATCCAATTAATTAAGTTGAAGGGCTACAAAAAATATGTGGGTCCAGGGCTTGAATCCCAGAATACATATGGTTCTTTTTGTATAGCTTCTCCCAAAAGAAAATCAAAACACCAAAGAATTCCTTTTGGTATCCTTGAGATAGAAGGTCTGATACAATTGTAGTCTCCAGGGATGGGAAGCCCAGGAACTGGCTGGCACACAGTAAGCATTTACTAAATCTTGTTGACTGGTTAAGAAGGGTTTATTTCAGTTCTTTCTGCTGTTCTCTAAATCTATGAGACAATGCTTTTATTGGAAATAGGCTTGTATTTCCGCCAACAGACCCAAATTTGCCTCTGTCTCTTTCCATAAAGCCACTGCCCCCAAATGCTGGTTCACAGCTGGATTCTAGGTAGATTGCCAGCTGTCACCTGACCTCTAACCTGCTGTCTATTTAATTATCTATCAAATCCCTCAGCACCACATCTAGCTAGTATAATCTTACTGTTCTATGCCATTCATGCCTTTTCCACTTAGATTTTTGCTCAGGGCTACTTTCAGACAACACCTTAAAACATGTGCGCAAAGCCCCCCTCAGTGAGCAGCAGCATCCAAGAGTGGGGTGCAAGTTCTTCTGCCAAGAGAGGGCTATTGAAAAGTTATCTAAAAAATACAGGAGAGGGACTAATATTGGAACCAGGGTACCTTTTTTCATAAGTTATCTCCCCTAAAACAGAGGTGTCAAACTCACAGCCCCCTCAAAACGCCCCATGCCACAACAGAACCGGATTAAAACAGGACTAGGAAATGTTTAGTAAAATAAACAAAAATACAATATAATGTTAATTTGTGATTTTTCTAAGTTAATAGGCAGCCCACAGGGATCTTTCTATTTGAATTTGATACCACTGACCTAAAGCACCTGTGCTTGGGAAAGGGTGGTTGAGTATCCCCTTCTGACAGAGTATATTAGGCTCTGTCAGAAGGTCTTACTCCTCATCTGCCCTCCATAAAAAAAAAAGCAACATCTGCTTTAAAGTGGGAGATTGGACTTGAACAGACAGTGGAATGTCCAGGAAGCAGGTGCTGTTTTGATGGAGGAGATGCCCTGTCTGTCACTGGGCTTACAAACAGCCAAGCCATCAAACATATGTCCCAACCATAAGAAGGAGGTCTTATTTTATAGTTGGTCATGAAGAGGTCTGATTTATTCCACACTGATTTCCCCTGAGAATAGTTTCTCTAGTCATCAATCCAGCCACAAGGCATACAGAGCATTCCAGACATGTCCCTGGCACTTCTGCGAAGAATAACTGGAGAATGGCTGGTCCTCCTCTCCTCTATGTCTCTCAAAATGGTGCAGGGGAATCTTTGGTTGGGACCTAATAGGCTTTTCAAGTACAGAGCGTACAGTTTTTAAAGTGGTCCAACCCTACCCCTTCCTACTGACTGACTGTGATTTGATTTTATGTCCTTCTAAAACAGTGAGACTGGCTTAACCCTAAAGTGTATCCTCTGGCTATAGCCCTAATCATAAGGGCCTCTGGGAGTAAACAGTTTCTTTCTGAGAAGCTTTGTGTCTGACCACCTCCACTAATCCCACAAGTGGAATAAATGTCAACAAATGCAGGTTGGCTGGGAAAGGGTTGGGAGGTGAGGAGGAAGCCCTGGGAAAAGCTCAATTTGCACCAGAGTTGTTGGCTAAGAAACCCTCCCTCAGAAATGAAAAGTTAAACTGCATCCCCTGAAGGGAAGCAGGGCACTCCATCTTGACCCTGATTCCCATCAGGTATGGTGTTGCCAAAGACCTCAGTGGAAAGTCAGGCAGGATGGTCAGTGCTTGCTTAACAAATTGACTGATCAAAGAATGCAATGGAGAACAGGCTTCCCTACAGTATAAAAATTCTCACAAATGAACTATTTACTTCTATTAAATTATTCTTTATAAAAGCTCAACAGGAGTGGTGTTAGTTGACCCCAAATATTTTTCTTGGGGGCAGGGAGAGATGGCCTCAAATTCAATACAAGCCTTTGCCAATTAAATATTAAAACCCCTTGTATGGCTTTGTATAGCAAGACAGCACCAATAAATCTGTGCATATCCAGCAACCCTGGTGTAAGGGACTGAGCACAGCCAAAAAGGGCAGTGTTGGCACAGAGTGAACATGAACTTCATACCGACTGAATCCAGGTAAAGTAAATGTTTTAAGATAAACAAATCAGACAGACAGATCAGAGCTTGGCAAAAAGACACAAAAACAAATGGACAGACAGAAGCAAGTTAGTAAGTGGAAAGGCAGGAGGTGTATTCTGGGCCCCTCACAGCACCAGTTAGTTCTAAATTAACTGAGGGACTGGCCACTTAATTCAATGTTCCTCCATAATGTCTTTCTTTTAGCAGATGCTTCCCAAGTCTAGTGCAGGAGAAGCAGGTGAAATGACGTTATCTCAACTGGCCTTGCTGAAGATTAAAAGGCCTTGGTGAATAATGGGCAAAACTCAACGGGAAATTACTTAAAAGCTTTTTTGAAAGCCTGGTGAATGTTTCTGCTGGGAGATCTTTTCTCCTTTGTATACACGGCTGCGGCTGCATGGGGCCAGAGTGTCTTTTTAACCATTTTTCCCCCTAGAGTTTGATGAAGAGTGGCAATCCATTGGAGAAGTTCCCTTTTCTACTACTCCAGTTGCTTCACAGAGTAAGGGAAGCACTGGACCCATAAGAATATCCAAGTAACTTAAACAGATAAGCATATCCCAGGCCTCTGTAGCTTGAAAGTATCTTTATGGCAGGAGATCTTGTAGGTCACAAACAAAAGTGCAATGGAAAGGGTAACCTCTGGGGAAAAGCCAACAGGCTGAGCACATGGACCATCGAGGGAGGGGAAGTGTTTGCCAAGATTACTTGGGCAATCCCTAGCTCTAAAGAAACGGTTCAAGGAACATTTAAATGGCTTTGCAGGATAGGCGGAGGTTCAGGCTGAAAATATGATTAGAAAGGCTCCCATCTAAAGGGTTATTCTATTTTCAGTTAAATATCTCCAGAAGGAAGGAACAACACATTGACCAAATTTCTGGGACTCCAAGTAGGACCCCAGGGGATGCAGTCAGCCTTTGCTGCAAGGGCCATGAAGGTCAGGGTACAATCAGATTTAGGACAGTAGCACTCTATGAAACCCCTCCAGAATTCAAATCCAGCAGGTAACAATGAAGCCGATAATTCGGAGCTCTCTGGATCATAAAGTGAATCACTGATTTTAAAAGTACTTTTCAAATCTCCTTCTTAAGGATTTACAGGTTGATTTTTTTAAAGGGCCTGGGCTGGCTTTTGGGGACCCAGCTAGGATGAGGAAAGTCACTGCTTCAAGTTTCTTGCTACGGCTGGATTAAAAATCCCCATGCGTCCCTGACAGAGTAGTAGGAGGTTCTAAAAGAAGGCGTCATAGGTATGGATGGAGAAATTCAGCCCCTTTTTCTTCTACCCTAAGGCTAGGAACGTTTTACTTAAAAGAGAGGTTGTTCTTTGTCAAAGATCTAAGGACTCTCTTGGGCCTTGTCACTGCCATCCTGTTCCCAGCATCTCAGTGCACACCCCATGCCTTCTTTTCCAGTAAACTGCAGGATAGGAGATGGGTGTGTAGAGGGGGTGAGAGCAAGGGTGAAGAGCGGGGTGGGGGGGTTCTCCTCCCAAGTTCATGTTCAGCAGACTGCCACTCACCGGGTAAGCGGACCTCAGAGCACAGCTTATTGTCGAGTGTTTTCACGACTGCGATGTCAATGTCATTGTTATTGTCACACTCCATACCTAGGAATGCGCAAGTCCTCTGGCCTGTAACGGAGTTGATGCAGTTAGAGAGGCGCTGTGATTTTCTTTGCTTTACTGTCTTTTAAAACGAAAATCTTAAAGATGGAGACAAAAAAATCAAATTATATATTAAAAAAAAGACAATAAGTGGGTAAAGAGTGGACAATAAAGGAGTCACATTGTGTAGGGGTGTGAGTGTCTCTGTTCTCAAAGCTGTCCTTCTCTGAATTCCCTACCAGCTTCTTCTCAATTCTTGTTCAGTAACTTTTCAGATTGCTGAGGAGGAGGGCAAAGGAATACACAGGGATTTTGAAGAGAACAAGTAGCAGGTGCAGTAAATATGCAGGTAAAAGGCAGACAAGAGAGTAGCTGGGAAAAGCTAAAGAAAGCAACTGGCAAAGTTACCCCCTGCTCATGCTTGTGTCTGTCTCTGGTCCGTGTCAGGTGCGTTTATGACCATAGGGGAGTGGGTTCTGCAAAATGAGTAAATAATAAAAGCAAAAATTAAAGATTCTAGGTTCCATTATTTTGCATGTCAAATCCAAATTGCCACATTAACAAAATTAAGATTTTGCTGATGAATATTTGTTTGTTTTGTTGCTTGGAGCATTATTTAAATGACTGACCAGAAACCTACAGACATGTTAGGGGGCAAGGGGAGTTATAGAAGTCATTTTTTAAAGCCCCCCTGTTCCTTGGTGAAAAGGAGAAAGGAAATCATGAGTTTGCCAAATGGGCTATAGGACATCAGGAAGAAACACAACCCTGCACGTTAAAGGAACAACCAGGAATCTGGCAACCCTGCATTATAGAGGAAGAAGACAAATTCATGAAAAGCTAAGATTTTAAGAAAGTCTGTTTGTTTTGGAATGAGCAAGCAATTAGTTGGGTAACCTGAGGTCCTACCAACATGGTCTGAGTTCACGGTTTGTCTCTCTGGCTGGTGTGCAAGGGGTGATGAGAGGCCCAGCTCTAAGCAGCGGTTACCAGTCTGCCTGGGAGGCTCTTGGGCTGGGCTGGCCGTGTGCATGCACACCCTGTGAAGTTTTCCAAGCAGTAGCCCACACTCAAGCAAAAGCAACCAGGATGATGGCGACCCAGAGGTCTATAGCCGGGCTGGGGGTGGGGGCTGGCTTAGGCCCGGCACATGCTTTGATCTATCCTCCTTTTACATGAAGCACCTCATGGAGAGAATAGATTCTCAACCCCAGGACACTTAACGTCTATTTTTGCCCTAGATTCTTCCTGTCTAGACTATCCTTTTACTAAGCTCTAAGCTAAGTTTTAGTGGGGAGAGGGGAGGAAGGGGGAAAGAATGCCCTCTCCATTCCAAGAAGAGAACATTAAAGTCGTGAATGTTGTCAGTGAACGTCATTGCAACGATTCGCAGACACCTGCCTACATGGTATTGTTAAGGAAAACTTTTGTCTCTACTTTCATGACAATTGTCTTAATATATCAGCTATAACTTTTCAAGGTCTTTTTTTTTTTATAGGAAGGAGAGCAATCTTTTGAATTAAAGTGAATCAAACCAGAGCCCTCTCCCTGGGGTAAGGAATTACTGTAAGGCACTGTTGCTGTTTCTACCACAGAAGGGCAGCCTGAATGGCCCTGTGGCATTTGGCTGAGGAGCCTGTGGGGGAAAAACAAAGTTTATCAGGCAACTGTCCAGCAACCTCTGGAGGTTACAACAACACAGAAAAACATGATCTGCCTAAAGTAGAGGCCTTAGCCTAACACCCCAGCACTTAGCACAGCGCCTGGCACATAGTATGAACTTAATAAATCTTTCTTTTTTTCCTTCCTTCCTTCCTTTCCTCCCAGAAAAGTGAGCAGGATACACTGGGATCCTTCTGCCCCTCTGCTATCTGGCATATATTATATTTATAACTTTCTTTTCATCAAGCATACAACTAAATAATGCCACCAAGTCCTTTTTTCTTTGCCTTGACATCACCACCCTGGAAGGAAAATGAAAGTAAAAGAAGGCAAAGGGCCAGTCTGTTACCATCTTCCTGTGTAGGTGATCCATCCTCTTCTTCCAACACATCGTTCCCCTAGGACACAGCAAAGAGGCTATGAATGTTGAAAGAACAAGCCATGATCCCAGACCAACATAAACACCTACAAATCCCTGCACTTACCATAACGAAGACACAGCTGGAAAAAACCCAGGCACTCCCATACTATTGGTACGGCTGGGGTTGCAATGCCCCCTTTTAGCTTATCCTGGTTAGTCTCCAATACTACTCTCAACATGTATTCTGCTCACTACCACACAGAAGCTGGTCTAAACACCATTCTCTGTTCTCATTAGAGAGCATCCCTAAATACCGAATCAACTGCTACCCCTTGTAGAAGGGCCAGTACCAACAGGCTCCCTCCCACTCTATCCCATCTGCTCCTTGCAATGCCTTGACAGTGAGAATATCCCTCAGGAATTCCTCTCACTCTGTTCAAGGCTCCCCATGGCCCCCTTCTGGCTCTGCACCCCATCCTGTGCCATTCTCCCTGTTGTGCTGACCAGGGAAATTCCGCTTAGTTAGTCTAGAGGGGTTTGGGCCTGATCAGTTTTGCACCAGTGTGCCCTGTGGAGAGGTGTTTTTTTTGTTGGGAGTGCCTTTGATTAGTCTTTCTTCTCTCCAGGATTGAAATCATAAGAGCAATAAATGAGAAACAAGATGAATGACAAGTTGATATGAATCTCTGGCTTAAGAATCTCTAGAGGGCTTACATCCTAACTAGAGTCTCAAGACTGAAGATCTGGCTCAACTGAAGGTCTACAATGATCCTCCCTCTTTAATAGGTAATCAACTACTGTGACCAAAGCTTGGGATTCTGCAACAAAGTCACCTCTTTGGAGTCTCCACCCCATTAAACATTTGTGAGAGTACAGAGGTGAGCAGTTTCCTGTATAATATGACTCTCATCACATTAGACTCTACACTGAGTTTGAACCTAGTAATGCTGCCTTGAAGCAGCAGCTCCCAACATTGGACTGAGGTCCATCCTCAAAGCCTTAGATTATTGGCTCTTCAGTTCAAGCAGCTTTATTAACTACAGGAAAGGGGCCACTGCTGTTTAGCATGTTACCTCTGCATCCTGCTCTTCTGCTGTGACACCAACAAAGTCAGTATCTGGGGACTCAACAGGCATCAACTGCAAAATAACAAAATGGGTAAGCGACAAGCTCACTGACCTCTTCTTGCTCTATTCTAAGAACTGTGGAAAATGCAGTGCCCAATTGTGCTTCAATTACAATGTGGTAGACATAAGATAAAGGCCAGAGAAACTTCAGACAGAGGACGGTAGCCTACGAGAGGCCCTCGAAATGAAACTACTTATAGCTTTGTTCCTCCACAGCATTTTCCCCAAGGAGTTAACAGGGTTCAGTAGAGTCATCTCTCAGCCCTGGCCTCATCTTTCTCTCTCTCTCCACCCAAGTCTAGCTCCCCTTAAGGCACAGCCAAGTGCCACCTCCCACATGAGACCTTTCCTGGTCTCCTGAGGTGTTAAGTGTCCCCGAGTTCCCCATCAAAATTATTTTGTATTTATTTCATATACATGCAATGTCCCCCATAGAATATAAGGGGTTTATTGTTGCCTTTGCATCACCAGCGTCTATATACTTAAAAGGCACACAATACATGCTTATTGAACTGAGTTGTTGAATCTTTTCTCAGGGCGATAGAGGACAGACCCCACTGATCTCCAGCTGTTTTCCCAAGTGTGTTTGGTTTAAGGAGCAATGATGATTCTGGCGGCTTTCTCCCTACCTCGCCTTCTTCTGATGGGGCTCCACTGGCGGCCAGTGGGGAAGGGAGAGCGTCTCCCTCTTCTTCGGTGCCAGGGGCAATATAGGAACCAGACATTGAGGAGACTGTGTCAGTGCTGATCTGGGAGTTCTGGCTTTGAGAAGAGGCTATAGACATGACCGATTGTGCCAGGCTGCTGCTGACGGGGTCTACAGGCAGAACAGATGAGAGCAGCTCAGCCACCTTAGTTACAGTGAACACAGCAGAAGAAAGAAATAGACCTTGATAGTTTAAAAAAGAAAAAAAAAGAAGAAATCTTCTTCCCTTTCCCTTGGGCAGCAAACACCACAGGAACCTTTCCTTTTGCTCAACTAAAAAAGTGTTGGAACAGGAGTTTACTGAGCTTTTGCCTTATTTAAGGGCCAGAGCTCAGAATTTAGTCTCAGGGACTAAAGTGAGAAGACTAGAAGAAATGGAGGCTACCAGATTATTAAATCAGAACCTTGTTCATGGAGGAGTGGTTAGGGCACTGGACTTGGAGTCAGGAAGTCCAGAGTTCAAATCCTGCCTCAGATACTTACTAGTTGTGTGACCATAGGGAAATCACATAATATGTCTGTACTTCATTTTCCTCATTTGTAAAATGAAGGGGTTGGAACTCGATGACCTCTACTGTCCCCTTCAGTTCTAAATGTACATATAATCCCATGAACTCATGTTAAGGTTTTTTTGTTTTGTTTTTGTTTTTAAAGAAAGACAGGCTTGCCCCCAAGACTTAGAATAAAACTAATATTAAGGTTAAAAAACAAAAACCCGAAGCTGTCCTTGTTCTCTCACAGATGGAAATCAGAAGAAGCTAATGGAAATTAGCTCCCTGGCTCAGGAGACAATGTAGCTGCTGCCACTAAGTAGTCTCTTCATAGAAGAGGTGGAAGTCTCCTGTCCACCCCTCAACCAGGGATTACATTTACCATGCTTGGGTATTATTTGATTACAGCCCTAATGAAAAATTTGAGTCCCTATGATCTAAGCTGGAGGGAAGGTCCAGAGCAACTGTAAGTCCTATTCCCTTAAGTACCTTCTGGGGAAGAAATAGTGGAAGAGAGTGGGGTCCCTGTGCAAGACGACTGACCAATGGCTCCTGATGAAGATAAAGTGAGGTTCTCACTCTCTGGAGTTGCGCCGCATTCCTAGAAAAGCAACAGAGGGAAGACAGAGTGAGCTCAAAGCAGACATAGTTGGTAGCAGGGTGGAGGGAAAGGGTGTGTGTGTGTGTGTGTGTGTGTGTGTGTGTGCGCGCGCGCACGCAGGAAAGAAGAAACTGGCAGCTCGGAGGCTGAGGCTGTCTGTCCTCAGAAAAGGGAGGTAACAGGTAACAGTGGTGCTAGCGTCTCTTTTGTCATCGCTTCTCTTCAACCTTAGTCTGGAATGACATCTCCCTCCCAAGGGAGAAGGGAAAACTCCAGTCATCTCAGCCTGCCCAGGGCACAGCATCTGCTGGAATTGTACACAGTGATGGCTCAAGTGACATAGGTCACCTCGCAGCTGTTCCCTGGGAAAGCCCTTGGCATTCATGATTACAGACAAGTTCTTCCATTCTGAAGACAGGACTCTAAGTCCACACGACAGGCACAGGATAGGTAGCTCTGCTCCCAAAAAATGCCTCTGCCAGGAGCCCCAAAGATCAATGGAGCTGAAAGGGAGGGTGTGTTATTGGGGTGGGGGTGGGGTGCAGGAAAGGCCAGGAGGGCAGTAGGTACTTAGAAGCAGGGTCCTGTGTCCCAAGAGAGGAGAGGGAGCAGAGTGCCCGTCACCTCTTCAAGCTGATGAGGAGACTGCCTGTGGGAGAGGTGCATTTCAGACCCGCTGCAGGACTGCTCATCATCTTCTTTGTGCAACATGGATGAATTCTGGGAGATAGACCTGGGTAAGTTTAAAGGAAATACTTGTAACACAAATATACACTTGAAATAACAAACTCTGTCTGCACTCAAATCAACTAAACTCCATACACAGAAGAGGAGTGAGTGAGAAAGGTCAAGGGTGACATCTGTCAGAGGCGATTCTCGGGTGAGAAACAAGGCTGTGGACTGGGAGCTACGCTATGTGTCCACAGTTTTGCTTTGACTCCACACATGATCTATTGTGGTCATGTGTGCTTCTATATACGCATACTCTCTTGGGGATCCATTATAGACACCAAAAAATGCCACTCCCTCTACTCTATCATAAACATCTTGCAAATACTAATGATTAGGACCGTTTAAAAAGAAACTGTTACAAAATTAAAGTTTGTCATTTTCTGATCTAGACTCCCTCAGAGCATCAATACCATCTACTGCTTAGGCCTGGAAGCATCAGCATGTTCTCAGAAGAGTGTGCAGGGAGCCCTTCAGCATACATTTTTTTATTTCCAAACACTACTACCACCACCTTAGGTTGATGTGTTTGAGTCTCACACAATCAATTAGTCCCTTCCTTAATGTTCTGAAGGCACCTCAGGTGTTTGGTGGGATGGTTAAATTCTAGAAAAGTCTCAGAGGGTCAGTTTCTCCATAGGGAGCCAAGATAAAAGCTTCCCCCATTACTAGGCAGGTGAGAAAAGCACTGGAAAAACTTGGATCAATGTGATGATTAATCCTGGCTCCACAGAGCTGATGGGGAAACACTAACCCCTCTCTTCAGTACAGAGATGGCAGAATGAGACCTGTGCTGTTAGACGTGGTCCTTGTGACAATCTGTGTGGTTTAACTGTACTTCCTTGTTATTAAGGAGGGTTCAGGTCCTGCTCTGGACATTTACTTGCTTTGTTGTATGACTCTAGGCAAGTCATTTAACCCCAGTTTGCCTCAGTTTCTTCATCTGTAAAATGGAGATAATAATAGCACCTACCTCACAAGGTTGTTATAAGGATTAACTGAGATAACACGAGTGCTTTGAAATTCTTAAAGTGCCACAGAAATGTTACTATTATGATTGTGATTATGATTATGATGAGTATTAAGAAATGCCCATGGTGTTTTTTTAAAAAGCAACGATAAAGCATTAAAATATAAAAGGAAAAGAATGCTGGAAAATATCCATCGCCCCAAGTATCTCAAAGCCAGGATGATCAAGCACTGGCTACTCACTTGGAGAGACTGTTCTTGAGCTTGAGTTCTTGGCTGCTGCTGTCCGAGAGGCGATCGAGAGGGGAGACGGTTCTGACCGGTGGCAGATGCCCGTCACTGCCATAGGAAGGCAACATCCCTGACAGGTGGGTGTCTCCAAGCACGTGAAGTGGGGGAGCAGCTGGGGATGGAGTGAGGGGCCCATTTAGGGCCTCCAGCAGAGATACCACTTCATAACCCAAGGGAATGTTCTCTGAGGACTAGGAGAAACAGAGACAGGTTGTTAAACACTAGAAATGGTAGGTGTCTACAGCAGGTGAACAGGCATCCTCGTTTCAAAGTAAATCCTAGTTTCACGACAAGATCTTGTTTCTGGCTCCACACAAGAGGTTCCTTCCAGGTTTGCTTTGAGGGTTTAGTAAAAGTAATTTCAACACTAGAGGGGGAGGAGAGATTCATGTGTTAAACAGCTGCAGGAAAGGAGGGCTGTATCTGTGTAGTAATTCTACCTGGAAGCTGCCAATGCGTTAATCTTAAGAGAGATAGTACCTAAGTGAAAAGGGAAGAGCTAAAAAGTTGGAGACTGTCCCTAAACCTCTGTCTTCCATTATGAAACTTTGTTAGATTAATTTGTCTTTCTGGACCTTGTTAGTATACCCAGCTACAAAATGGAAGAAAGATAAGCACTCACCTTTTAGAGGACTGCTAAGTAAATAGTACTGAATTACAGAATAATCATTTATCTGCCATGCCCCCTCCCACAGTTAATTCCAGAGTTAGGGCTCTTCAAAGTGGTATTTGCCATCAAAAATTAGAAAACAGATATCCCAGAAGGAAAATGGTTTTTTTACTATGAGACTCAAATGTTGATTTTGCTGGCTTCAAAACAACTTAGTTTTGGTGGGCTTATTCAAAGGATATATAAGACACACCAGGGTGTAATTTAACTGCTACAGTGTCAGGGTGGTAAAGAAAAGAACAGTGGAAAGCAGAAGTCAGTAGGGATCCTTGCCAAGCATCTGTTCCCCAGTGCAAGGGCTCTCATTTCAGACTATGAACCAACTTACCGAGTGTTCTTCAGAGTCAGATGTTTGGGAGGAGATGATGGGGTTAAAGTTGGTTGGGGACAAGGGGCCCAATTTCTTCCTCATGGCCCGGATCTGAAGCAGAGCCCGAAATGCTGTGAAGTGGAAGATGACTAGTTAGGATAACTTGATACAGGGGAGAGGGCATGTGGGAAGGAGTGGATGCCCAACTACCCAGAAAGCACAAAAATTCCCCATGCCTTTTTCCCAGAGGTCCCATGTATTTGCCATATCCCAGACACATCATGGACTTTGGTGCTCTATACGTCAAATTCCTTTGTGTGTTCCCCCCTCCCCCCCTCCGCCCACGGTGCCTTTCCCCTCATCCCTGGGACTTACGTAATCGGCAGATGGGGCAGTTGTTGGCTTGGTAGCGAAGAGTGTCTGCACAGGTGTTACAGAGGCAGAGGTGGCGGCAGGGTAAAATCAAGGTATCCCGGACATCCGAGAGACATACCACACACTCAGCACTGTTATCATTTACTTCATCCTCAGCCACCTGGCCAAGGGGGATAAAACTACTGAGCTGAGAGCACAAGAACCTTGATCTCACATACCTCACTGATAAGACTGTAAGTGAGGCGGAGTACGTGATTCCACCACCACCACCCCTCCCCCAAATAATATAATCACATGTAAACATGAGAAAATTTTAAATGTATAAATAAGAGGAGTTTATGTAGCTTGTGATCACTTTATGAGGTACAGACTTCTTCGTATCATGAAGGAAACAGCATGACTGGCTAACCAAACAAGATAACCATGCATTTGGGGACTTTAGAAGAATTCTAGCATCTGGCTGGTCTAGCAGAAGGAGAGATTCAATTTAGAGTTTACTGGAGAGTTTGAGCCAGAAGTGGAGGAAAAAATAGTCCTCTGAGAGGGAACTGCTCTTTGAAGGAGTAGGGGACTTTAGGATTTTCCCCAATCCTTCCCTTTTTCCCTCCCTCCAAACTACCACTGACCATGTTATTAGAGAAAATGACTAGTAAGAAAAGATGCATACAGCTGTGAGAGGAGAAATATATCAAGGACAGATATGGATCCTGATACAAAAAGAGAGTCACCCAAGAGAAGAGGCAGCTTCAAAGAATGCGACCTCATGTACCAGAGAAGAATGCCAGCAAAGGACTATAGAAAGGACTTCCAGCTCATAAAGTACCAGTAAGTGGTCCTTTGCAGCACACGTATAGTGAATATGTGTCTCACTACCACTACCTATTAAGTTTAAGCCCACTCTTTCCATGAATGCTGTGCATGTATGTGAGAAAGTGAACTCCAGGTATTGGGAGAAAATGTTTTGTACTAACTACCGAGTTAGTAAAATGCCTTTGCTAAAAGCTAGTTAAGTCTGCTGGCTGCTTGTTAAAGGGGAGAATATCAGTGGGGGCTCTTGCATTATAATGTTAAAGTATAGCCCAACAGGATTACTCCTGGAACCTGTGGTAGCAGTTGCCCTTTGGGAGATGGAACCTTTGGATATGAGTTAAAGTTTGAAGAAGTAGCCCCAGAGGGTTTTACAAGGTAACTAAGCAAAAGGACTGAGACTTGTTACTTCATGAAAATGTTTAGCTAAATGTTTTACTCGGCCTAGAATGGCATTCTGAGTTTTGGAGACTGAAGAGGACAGAAGGGGGCAAAGCCAGAGCCACATCAGGGAACTAATTATGTAAGACAGGGGAGAACATTAAACTATGAGCCTGGGTAAGAATTTACAGTGAGAGCGAGAACGCAGTGAGAGAATATACTATGATACCCATTTTCTTTCGACTTCCTTTTTCAGTGAAGAGAAAGCTAACATCATATAAGCAAATTTAAAGTTGGCATAAAGGCAAATATGTAAAATATAAAAGGAGAAAGTGCCACCCCCAAGCCCAAGTTCTTAGTTTGGGCTGTTAAGTTCCCACCTCTATCTGGGAAATGTGCCCTCTGTTCTTGGGCATTAAGCTTTACCTTAGAATCCTGTGTGTTGTATTTGTTTTCAATCCCATAGATTTCTTGAAGGAGGTAACTGACCCCATCCACCTGGAAACCACAAAGAGAAAAATTTAAAAAGATAACATTTCTAGTAGTGTTATGCTACAGTAGGAGAAAAGGCCTTTTTTCTACCAAAGATCACTGATCCGCAGAGGAAAAAAAAACCAAAACAGAAACTTTACAAATTAATTCAGCGGAGCTTTTCCTTTGGGGGATTATTTGATCCCTTATATTCAAAAGAGAGAATAAAACACATGTTTTAGAGATTCCAGTCCTATATTATAGCCAGTTAAAGAAGACTTGTCTAGAAGGAAAGAGAAAAACAGGGAAGCAGAGAAGAAGACAGGTAGAAAGAAATGGATATCAGCAAGGGTTGAGGAAGAAGTTAAAAATCCTGTGCTGCTTTTCTTTTACAAGGTCGCTGTAAATATTGTTTTTATATTATAGACAGATATTGACTTTATATACACATATAGATTTTAAGTTTACATTATTTATCATGTATTATTACTATTACATATTCAGAAGGAAATTTCTGATTGGAATCATTGTGATGTGGTTGAGTATTTGCTAAATATTAATTGAATAAATTCTAAATATTCATGAAGACTCTGCTCCCCATGGTCTAATCTAGTTACCATCTATCCTCCCATCTCCCATCTAGCCAAAATCCTCCTCTACAAGGCCCCTTGTTAAAACCTCAACTACCAAGAATGTCCAGTTAGGTCAATGCAATTGACAAAGTGGTCCCATTTCCTATCACTCTAATGCTGACTAATAACTTGTGTCTGCCGCATTCAATCTCTATAACCCTAGGGCTGGTCTGACACATTCTCATTCCCTAGCTGGCCAATATTTACTTCCACTTTGGCTGGCTGGCCATAGACAAAACTATGAATTAGATTCATGGTATACTGGGAAGATTATCAGACTTGTAGACGGGAGACATTGGTCATAATCTCTGCTCTGCCACTTACAAAAATACAGTCAGGCCAGTCACCCTTCTCTGAGTTTCAGTTTCCTCATGTGTAAAATGAGGTTATTATCATCTGCCTAGAATCTTTCATGTGGCCTGGCATTCAAGGCTTTCTGTGATTTGGCTTCTCCTCACTGTTCCCAACACATTTCACACTACTGCCCCATAGCAACAGCTCTAGTCAAACTGGCCATGCCCACTGCATTCAGTTCAGATCAATTCAACAAATCCTCTTCCAAAACTTGATCTTAGTTGTCCTCTTAGAAAGGACCTCGAACTAAGTCACACTAACATGTTTTTAACTAACTAAGCCTCAATGTGTTTCACTCCCAGGAGTATTTGCATTTTTACCTAGGGAAAATGCTTAACTCAAAGAATGAATCTCCCTAATGATTTAGTTTCAGATTACTAGACCTACAGAAGAATAAGAGGTTGGGGTTTCTTTCTCTTTCAGATGTATATATAGTTGCATTTGCTGAGCTTAATGGTAAGGGATCCTGGTAGGCAATAAACATTTCATTTTTGAACACCTGTATTAAACTGAGGAAAAACTTTCAAGTTGATAGTTCCCAGACTCTGTTTTACAGAATTTTCCTCACTTGCTAAAACTGCCCTCTAGTCTCCAGAACTAAAGATGGCTTAAGAGTTTGCACTTCTCTCCCTTCCCACAAACACAGCCCCTTGGGGTCAGAAGCCTAAAGCAGAAAGCTCTTCCAGCTTTTCCATTCTCTGAATTTCTTGTCTCAGAACCAATAATTCTGAGTCCATAAAGATGCTAAAAATCAGACAGACTCTCTTTTAGGCCGTCCTTGACATCCAAGAACCTGAATCCCCCTGCCCTACTTTTTTTTTGTTCCCATTTGGTGAAGAGGGTTAACAACAGGCCCTGGCCTTCAAACACTTACCACCTGTTTCTGTTTCAGGGGCTTTACGCAGAAAGTGCCATCTGTGTGCTGAAATGAGAAGATTATTATCATGATAGAGAAGAGAAGGCAAGAAGAGGTCACTCAATCTAGCAGTTAAGTAAAGGCCTGTTACATATCAGGGACTGTGCTAGGTGCTGGGGACACAAACAAAAAGATTAAATCACCCTGACTCTTGAGGAATTTGCATCCTAGCAGGAGGAGATGCCATGTTCATATGTATGCCATATACACCTTTAAGAATAAATACAGGATCCGCATCCAAAGAAAGAACTATGGTGTCTGAATACAGATCGAAGCATACTATTTGCTATTTTTTTTCTTCTGTTGTGTTTTGTTTCCTCTTTCTGGTGGCTCCTCCTATTGGTTCTAATTCTTACTTACGACATCTATTAACAGGAATGTATATGTATAGCCTATATCAGATTGTGTGCCTTCTTGGGGAGTGAGGGGGAGAAAAATTTAAAACTCAAAAGCTTATGGAAGAGATTGTTGATAAATCAAAATAAATTAATAAAAAAAGAATAAATACAGGAATGGAGACTTGTGATTTCTTTGGTACTGGTAACCATCAGCACTTTTTCTGAAACTTAATAATATTAAAGAGTTGCTTGAAGCATTGCGAGGTTAAATGACTTGCTTGGGATCACTCAGCCAGTCTGTGTTAGAGGCAGGACTTGAACCCATGTCTTCCTGGCTTCAAGGCCAGCTTTCTCTCCACTACATTTGCACAGATTAAATATATACAGAATAAATAGAAAATAAACCAGTGGAATTTATAAATGCAAAGTCGATTTTTTGGGGGGGGGAAATACTAACAGATGTTCCTTTATTTACTCTTATGTATTCAATCTTACATATTCTTACATATTTGATTCAATACATATTTATGAAGGCTACAAACATGTAATGGAAAATTCATCATAAGGAAATAAGAATATAAAGAATCCAGAGAAACATGGAAAGACCTTGATCAGGGGTGGGGAATCCGAGGCCTTGAGGCCACATGTGGCCCTCTAGGTCCTCAAGTGTGGCCCTTTGACTGAATCCAAACTTTACAGAACAAATGGGTTTGGATTCAGTCCAAGGCTGCACCTGAGGACTTAGAGAGCCATATGTGGCCTCGAGGCCACAGGTTCCCCACCCCTGACCTAGATGAACTTGATACAGAGTAAAGTAAACAGAATGAGGAGAACAATAAGACTAGTCATATGTACTACAATGTAAATGGAAAGAACAAAAAATCCTAAACTGAATGCTCAGTAATTAAAACGACCAAGTTTGGCCCTGAAGAAGAGCTGAGGGAGCAGCTAGGGGGCATAGTGGATACCAGCTCTGAAGTCAGGAGGACCTGAATTCATATCTGGCCTTAGACCAAACACTTGACACTTACTAGCTGTGTGACCCTGGGCAAGTCACTTAACCCTAACTGCAAAGGAGGAGGAGGAGGAGAAAAAGAAGAAGAAGAAGAAGAAGAAGAAGAAGAAGAGCTGAGAAAACATACCCCCCTCCTTCTCTGTAGAGGAGTCCTGGGTGTGGAAGATGGCCTAAACTGTCAGACATGATGTGGTTACTGGTTCTGCTGAACTGCTTTTCTCCTTGCCCTCCTTTCTTTTAAAATCTTTGTTACAAGGGTAACAAAACTTGGGCTGGGGGAGGAGGAATATACTCAGAAATTAAAGGGGTGTATTAACCAAATATATCAATAAAATGAGATTAAAAACCCAAATATTTAAGAACCTACTGTATCTATGACACTGTCCCAAGTACTTGAGGCATAAGGACAAAAATGAAACAGTCAACATACCATGGAAAACAACTGAGCCAGCTCCAGAGTTAGGACTACTGGAGCTCAGATAGCCTGGATCAGGAGTGGGAACCTGCAGCCTCAAGGTCACATGAGGCCTTCTAGGTCCTTGGGTGCGGCCTTTTGACTGAGTCCAAGTTTTACAGAACAAATCCCTTTATGAAAGGGATTTGTTTTGTGAAGTTTGGATGAAGTTCCCCAGGTTCCCTACCCCTGGCCTGGGCACTGGCCTTCTTTGTGGAGGGGCAGGGAAATGGGTTATTAATATTTAGCTTAATGCAAGAGGAGGGCTCTTGCTGGTTTACTTACTCACCTTTTCAAACGTAGCGAGAAGTACATGGCAGTGTCCAAAATGCTCTGCAAGACACAAGAGCATAAGGTGAAGAAAGAAAAGCCACATTCCACACCCAGATATCCCAATCTCACTAATGCTGCTCCCAACCCAGAACCTGCTAAGCAATCACAGGGTGGTGGGATAGGGGAGAGACTAATACAAGACAACACATATTAGTTCAAGGACCTTTAAAATTCTGATGGTAAAGATGAAGAAAACCACGTGTGACTGCATGGCTTAAAAAAGGCATGCTAGCCTGGGGCAGCAGCAGCTGTGGCGGGCAGGACCCACCACAAGAGAGCACTCACTACCCACAGAAAGAGAGTCCAGGTCCCATCGTACCATCGCCTTCATCCACTACCGCATGGACAACCATTGGGTAGACTTCTCGGTCCAGGTCAAAACCCAGCTGCGGAGTGAGCAGAGCAAAAGAACGCACAGGGTGAGGAGCTGAGACACTTAAATGTCCTAGTCATGTGTGACATGCAGCCAAACACCCTGATAATATGCCATAAGGGGACATCCCGTTTAGAAGCCTTAAGTTAAGTGTCATCATTCAGAACAAGTCCCTGTTCTCCAGGGACTCAATATGCCTTTAACTGCACAAGTCAATTTAGCTATTTCAAAGAGAGCTCTTTTTAAAATTCCTTTCTGATTTAAGCCCATTAGAATTTTTAAGCCCTGGCCCCCCACTCCCTCAGGGCACTGCTGTCTTAAAACACACTGGTGGGGCAGCTAGGTGGCACAGTGAATAGAGTGCCGGCCCTGGAGTCAGGAGGACCTGAGTTCAAATGTGACCTCAAACACTTGACACTTACTAGCTGTGTGATCCTGGGCAAGTCACCTAACCCGATTGCCTAGGCCCCCCCCCAAAAAAAAACCCCATACTGATCAAAAGATCATGCTACCCCTGAAAAAGATACAATTAATCAATCAACAACTATATATTAAGTACTTACTGTGTGCCAAGCACTGTATTAGGTACTAGAGACACAAAGAGAGAAATGCAGTAGTCCCTCCCCTCAAGGATCTTATCAAGTGAGAACATATGTACATATAAGGATATACAAAATTTATACAAGGTAAATTTTTTTTTGGTTGAGGCAATGGGGTAAAGTGACTTGCCCAGGATCACACAGCTAGTAAGTGTCTGAGGCCAGATTTGAACTCAGGTCTTCCTGAATGTAGGGCTGGTGATCTATCTACTGTACCATCTAGCTGCCCCAAGGTAAATTAAGGAAGGGCACTATCAGCTGGAGGGAACCAGGGAAGACTTCTTGTAGAAGATGGTACTCAAGCAGTTTTGAAATAAACAGGGGATCCTCAGAGGTTGAGGTGAAGTAGGAGAGCATTCCAGGCATGAGGGAGATTCAGTATAGACATGTAGAGACTGGAAATGAAGTACTCTGTGTAAGGAACAGCAAGGTCTGTTTGGTATTATTCATTGAACCAACATTTATTAAGTGCCTGCTATGTGCCTGGCACTGTGCTAAGCACTGGGGTTACAAAAGTAGGCAAAAGACAGTAACCTCAAGCAGCTTCCAATTTCATGGAGGATGGGGAGTAATACTTAATAAGGTTGGAAAGGTAAGCTGGGGCCAGGTTGTAAAGGCCTTGTGAGTTAAATAGAGGTGCTTGTATTTGATCAGAGAAGAAATGGGGAACCAATGGAGTTGGTTTTTGATCATCAGAGTGACATGGTCACACCTGCATTTTAGGAAAAATTGCTTTGGCAGTAGGAACTAGGAAGGGGACAAACTTGAGGCAGGGTGACCAATTAAGAGAGTACTGCAATAGTTGAGGTGCCAAGTGATGAAGGTCTGAGCCAACATAAGCAGAGAGAAGGGAATACATGCGAAAAATGTTCTGGAAGTAGAAAATGACAATATTTAGCAACTGACTAATATGTGGAGTGAAAGAGAGTGAGGAATTAGCCATAACTCCTCACTGGATTGCCAGCCTGGGTGACTGGAAGAATGGTAGTGCTCTAGAGAGGGAAGTATGAAAGAGGAGTGGGTTTTAGGGAAAAGATACATTAATTCAGTTCTGGACATGCTGAATTTGAAATGCTTATGGGAAACCCAGTTTGAAATATCCATCATGTATTCTACCAACCTAGAATTTAGAAGACTAGGGCTGAGTAGAGATATGGAAATCACTGGCATAGAGAAGATAATTAAACCAACGGCAGCTGATGTGGGTCACTGAATGAGAAAATGCAGAGAGAGAAAGGAAGAAGACCTTGGACGGAACTGTGAGGATATAGCCAGAATTAGGGGGTGTGATATGCATGATGAGCCAGCAAAAGAGACAGAAAACATGGTCAGACAGAGAGGAGGAGCACCAAGAGAAAGCAATGTCATAAAGACCCAGTGGGTCTCTAGAGAGTATCTAGAAGGAGAAAACGTTAAATGCTACAAAGAGGTGGTGAAGGAAGAAGATTGAGAAAAGGTTATAATATTGGGCAATTAAGAGATTATTGGTAATTCTGGAAAGTTGTTTCATTTGAGTGGTGAAACTGGAAGCTAGATTGTAGAGATTTGAAAAATGAGTGAAAGGAGAGAAAACTGAGATGACAAGTATTGGAAGACAGATTTTTCTAGAAGTCTGGCTAAGAAATGGAAGAAAAATCTCAAATGATGGCTTGAGGAGATGGAAAGGCCTAGTGAGAGATTTTTCAGGCTCGAGGAGATGTGGCTATGTTTGTAGGTAGTAGAGAGAGAACTAGTAGATACAGAGAGATTTAAGAACTGAAAGGGGATCACTGTTGGGGACAATTTATTGGAGAAGATGGGATGGAATGAAGGGCACATGTAAAGAGGTTGGCCTTGGAGAGAAGAAAGGTCACCTTTTCATCAGAGATAGAGTAAAGGAGGGAAGAATGAGGAATGATTCTAGGGATTTTAAAATGTAGAGAAGGGGAGAAGAGGGGGTTTATTGCAAACAGTCTATTTTCTCAGTAAAAGAGAGAACAGCATGGGAAACTTGAGGAGAAAAGAGGTTTGGAACAGTCTTTGTGGAAATGGGAAAGAGAATTAATTAGGGAGAAATGAAAGGATTGTCTTGGTGGTGAGGACCCAACTGAGATTGTATCGCTTAAATTTGTAGTGGACCAAGTTGGTTTGGTTGCCATATTTCCTCTAGCACCATTCAGCAACACATAATTAGGAGTGGGGCAGGTAGACAGCGGGAGTTATCCAGGGTCTGGCAAAGCAGAAGTGGTGATAGGATAAAGGAATCTGAGAACAGAGGACAGGGTAGAGTTGAGCTGGTTAACTATAGGACTGAGATGAAGAAAGTGAGGTTAGAGTGTGGATGATGGCCTGGAAAGGTAATGAGGGATGGAGAGTTTAAAGGTTGTGAGGTTGAAGAATAGGTTGAAAAGAGATAAGAAAGACCTAGAGAAACTCTCTGTGAAGGAGAAAGAAAAGGATATGGGGAAAAGTTTTGGTTATGTAAGAAATAAATGTTTTGTTTTTTAAAAGGAAAGGCATAGAGAGAGAGATGGAATGATAAGATGTTATGATACAATAAAAGGACATGAGATATATCTATATGTCTTTGGGTATATTAGTAATGTGACAAAATCAAACACATCGAAGGGCATGAAGGAAGAAGCTGAAATGTGTGACACCTTTTATCGCTTTTATATGCCTTACTTGCAGAAGCCAATGCTCAAGTCGGCTCTTGGGTGCTCATGAGTCTCCATTTCCTAATGGAGACTTATATTCTCCTATTCCTAATGACCTTATATTCTCCCCTGTGGCTCATGTCCCCAAGACATTTAGGCAAGAAACAGCTTACCTCCTCTTCAGCCCACTCAGATGGGTCAACAGTATGGGAGGGCAGGCAGAACTGCTGACACACTCCTCGCTTGTAGTGTACTGTCTCTGACTGAAGGCTGTTGTCTTTCGGGATGTAGCTATAGATCAGAGGAGGGGGTCAAAGTTAGCATCTTGTCCAGATATAGTTGACGTTTCCCAGTCTTTCATTCTGGTTCTAAATGATGTTCAGTCTCAACCCATGGAAAATAAAGGAGAGAACCTGCTTTATCACAAGTTTACTTTGCCTTTGGCTGGTTATGCCATTAGAATTCCTCTACTCAACCTGTATGCCCTCAGAATTAAGTCTGTAACATCATGAGATGACATACTGTTACCTTGCACTGAACCAAGATGGTACTGAACAAGGTAAAAAATTAAGAGCAGAGGAGCAGCTAGGTGGCCCAGTGGCTAGAGCACCGACCCTCTGGATTCAGGAGGACCTGAGTTCAAATCCAGCCTCAGACACATAACACTTACTAGCTGTGTGACCCTGGGCAAGTCACTTAACCCCACAGCCTAGCACGCCCCTTCCCAAAAAAAAAAATTAAGAGCAGGCCTGCCAGCTCAGGAAGTAGATCTTGGTCAGGAGGGAAAATGTCCTACTGGTAATAGTTTAAGACTTGGCTATATCTCATCTGTCTCTAGAGGAAGGGGCTCATTTGGTCTTCATCCCTTTTTTACCTGGCTATGCCATTCTGGAACTCTTCAGTGGCCTGATAATAGATGGTGATTGCCACCCGGGCATCGGTATCAAAAGTGAACTCTACATTGTAGTAGACTTTGGCTTTGCTGACCTCTTCTCCAGGGGTTTTTACTTCCTCGGTGCACCTAGAAGACCTCAGAGAATGAGAACTTACTGTGTTCCCCAGGCCCCAGAAAATCCTGCGCCACAAGCTTCATAAATTATAGGCCAAGACTCAGAATATCTGGATACTTGGATTCTCCCTTTATTGGTTTGGTAAATAAGTCACATGCAACTAGAAAAACAACCAAAATTATTTAAAATGAAATCCAATAGGGATAAACATAAAGTCCTACTTTAAGGATGCCTGGTTTGTTAGTGTGGGCATTGCCACCATTATTTAACTCTAGGCATTCACAAACAGGCTGGTAAATTGTTGCTGGGGCTAAAAAAATTCATCACTCTGAGCCTCTCCAAACTTAGGGAAGCTGACTTTCTGACAAAAGGTATACAGTCTACTGCTATATCCATATTGAATGTCTTTCCAGTTTGACAGAAGTCATGGAGAGCTTGATCTCTGTTAGCATTATCTCTAAAAACCCAGAGTTACCCTTATACAACAATGAGGAATTTGAATGAAATGCTGGAGCAAATGTAAAGCCCAACACACAGGTTCAAAAAATCAACTTCACAAGTACAGGGTTGAGGGAGAAGAGGTTAAGCAAGAGAATTAATTTGATTTTTACTGTACTCAAAGGAGTTAATAGTGGGCCATGACAGCCAAAAAGGGGTAAATCAGAGCTTAGCCTGCATTGACATAAGCCCAATGCCCAACATAAGGAAGATGACAATTCTATGTATTCTGGCCAGGTTAGGTCACATCTGGAGTACTGTTTTTGGTTGTGGAAACAACATTTTATTTAAAACTTCTTTAATTATAAAAGTAACAATCCATGGAGACAAATGAATATACATACAAAACAAGGAACAAAAATTTATATCATCCTCCTTCACCCCCAGCCTTTAATGAGGAAGAATCGAAAGATCAACCAGCAAGCAAATAACATGCTTTTGTTCTATGTTCCAGGCCTGCCTGAAATTCTGCCACTTCCTTCTTTTCTTTTCTTTTTCTTATATACTTGTAGAAAACGTCTGGTCCTGCTGATTTCATACTACAACAACCTTATATGAAAGAAGTACATACATATTTCCTTAGAGAATTAATTTTTATTATTTTTATGGCACTTTAATATTCCACTATATTCATATATCATGATTTAGGGGCTGGTGAGGAGACTGCCTCAGGAGTAGAAAATGCCGCCTTCTCGCCTCCCCACCTCTACCTCTCCCTGTCTGGATAGAAGTTACAACTCAGGACTGCAGGGACCCTCTTCAGTCCCCTCCCCTTAACCCCTTAAAAGAAGAACAACCCTGGGGACTACAAAGAGCCTTCTACCAACTCCTTGGCCCCCATGATGACAAAGTCCTAGAAGATGCTTTTTCTTTTGGGTCCCAAAAGAACAGCTGGTGGCCAAGGTACAGATTCCTGGGTTTTGCTCTAACACCAAAAACAAAGCAATTCATCTCACACTTAGGATGACAATGTGAAGGGATGTAGACACTCCAATTCCCCCATAGACACTCCAGCAAATTCTAAAAATCATTCCAAACAGAACATTAAAGAAAATCAAAGAGAAACACAAGTCAGTCTCTTCACCCAATTCAGAACTTCACAAAGAGACAATCAGAAGCAGCAGTGGCTGAGTGAGGGGTTATACAAGGAATGTCAGCCCCAAACCCAATAAATGGACCTGAAGCCTACAAGTGCTGGGAGTGAGACTATACCCAAGAAAATGTGAGTAAACAGAGGAAAACATCAAACAAAACCAATAAATATGATGGGCTAAAAAGTCTAAGAGGTAAGTAGAAGGGAGTAACTCTACAAGAAGCACAAATAGTGCCATAGAGGGAAAAAAGGACAAGAATGGAAGGAAAATGAAATAACAGATAAAATTAAATTAGAATTGAAATAAGAGCTCTGGAGGAAAAAGTTATAAGGAGAATTGCTTAAAACAGAAGGGAGAAAACTTTACCTAGTAGTTGTATTGTTTTTTATTTGTTTTGGGTTTTTTTGGCTAGGCAATGGGGTTAAGCGGCTTACCCAGGGTCACATAGCTAGTAAGTATCAAGCGTCTGAGGCGACATTTGAACTCAGGTCTTCCTGACTCCAGGGCCAGTGCTCTATCCACTGCACCACCTAGATGTCCCAGTTGTATTGTTGAATCAAAGGACTGGTCAAAACACCCATCATGATCCCAGAGCACCAATGATGAATGAGACATACATTTTCAGACATGGCTAATATGGGACTTTATGTTGCTTAATTATGAATATTTGTTAGGAGGATTTTTTTTCTTTTGGAAATCTAGGGGGAGGAAAGGATTGGCAAAAAAAAAAAAAACAAACCCAGAAATAAAAAGGAAAAGGGTCATTAAAATATTTTTTTAAAATGCACAGAGGAAAACAAAAGGAAAAACAGAAGGAAGAAACAAGCAGGACTGCTTTCAAACTTATAGTTAAATGTTTTATATATCTTAAAAGGAAAAGCTATACATTTTAGAGATTTGCAGTTTCATGTAAGATATTCTTATTGTCTCCTTTGTACATGTAAATACTCTTTTTTTTTTTTGGAGGGAGAGTATTAAGTTCAACCTTCTCCCAATTCCTCAAGTCATAGCTTAGTGAATTTTAATATACTTGCAAGTTGGATGACTGGGGTCATTTCAGAGCTCCAGAAAGAATACTGCCTCCTATACTCACCCTAACAATTATAATTTTCCTTTTCTGTCATCTTTGCCAATAAAATGGGTGTGAAGTGGAACCTCATATTGCTACAACAAATTAAAGAGATCATATACTCTCACAAGATTGGATTTATAACAAGATTTCAAGGTTGGTTCAATATAAGAAAAATTTTAAACTTAAAAGATCATATTAATAACAAGAAACACATGATAATGTCAATAGATGCACAAAAAATAATACCCATTTATGTTAAAAACATAGGAATAAAATAACTATTCCTTAATATGGTAAAGACCACTTGTTTGAAACCAAGAGCAAACATTATCAATGTAATAGAGAAACATTACAGAGGCCTTTCCAATAAGATCAGATGTAAAGATGTCCACCACTATTACTTTATATAGTTTTAGAAATGCTAGCTATAAACTACCTCCAGAAAGAGAGCTGATGGAATCTAAAGGCAGATTTTTTTTTTTACTTTCTTTATTTTTCTTGCTTTTTTTTTTGGTAAAATGGCTAATATGGAAATATGTTTTACATGATTTCATATGTATATCTGATATCCCATTTCTTGCCTTCTTAATAGGTAGTTAGGAGCATGAGGGGGTGGGAAAATTCAGAACTCAAAATTAAAAAAAATGTTAAAAATAAATAAAATATTTTTGTTTTTGTTTGTTTATTTTCCAAGGCAATCAGGATTAAATGACTTGCCCAGGGTCACACAGCTAGTAAGTGTCAAGTGTTTGGACTGAGGCCAGATTTGAATTCAGGTCCTCTTGACTCCAGGGCTGGTGCTCTATCCACTCTACTACCTAGAGGCCCCTAATAGATTTATTTTTCTTTTCTTTTTTTTTTTTTTTTTGGTGAGGCAACTGGGGTTAAGTGACTTGCCCAGAGTCACACAGCTAGTAAGTGTTATGTGTCTGAGGCCACATAGGAACTCAGGTCCTCCTGACTCCAGGGCTGGTGCTCTATCCACTGCGCCACGTAGCTGCCCCAGTAGATTTATTTTTTAAAAAAGAAATGATTGTTATAGTAATAAAATAAAGAAACTGAGGGAATAAGAATAAGCAAAGAGGAAATGAAATGATCACTTTTGCAGATGATATGGTTTACTTAACGAATTCTAAAAATTCAGCTAAAATTAAATGACGCAATAACTTCAGTAAACTAGCATAATAGAAAGTAAACATATAGAAATCATCAGCCTTTCTGTATATTACCAATAAAACTCAGCAAGAACTGATAGAAAGAAAAAAATTCCTTCCAAAATAATTACAGAATGTATAAAATATATGGAAAAAACCCCTACCAATACACACATAGGAATTATATAAATACAGCTACAAAACACTCTTTCCAGAAATAAAGATAGATGTAAATAATTGAAAAGATATTAATTAATCATGTTTAGGCTATGCCAACATAATAAAAATAAGAGTACTACCTAAATTAACTTGCAGATTTAGTGCCATACTAAGTAGACTACTTTGTAGAACTAGAAAAAAATAATAATGAAATTTGTTTGGAAGAAAAAAAGATCAAGAATCTCAAGGGAAATAATTGAAAAAATGTTGGAAGGAAGGGCTTAGCCTTACCAAATCTTTAACTTTATTACAAAGCAGTTATCATCGAAACAATAATGGTATTGGTTAAAACAAATAGAAAAGGTAAACACTGGACAGATTAGTTTAAGACCCAGAGGCAACTGAGTATGGTGTTTATTAAATCCAAGGACTGAAACTACTAGGGTAAGCACTCAGTATTTATCAAAAACTGCTGGGAAAACTAGAAAGCACTATAGCAGAAATTAGGCTTAGGCCAACATCTCATACCACGTATCACAATAAACTCCAAAAGGATACACTACCTAAATACAAAAGGACATATAATAAGTAAAATAGAAGGGCAGAGAAAGAGACACTTTCATAATTACTGATAGGGAAAGTTATGTTTGGCCAAACAATGAATAATGAAGATCAGAGACGATAAAATGGAACTTTTTGATCAAAAAATTTTAAAGTGTACAAATAAAATCAATGCAGTGATAATTAGAAGGGAAATAGCAAACTTGGAAAAAAACTTCACAGTAAATTTTTCTTTAAAAGTTCTGATATGTAAGCTATCAAGATATTAGACAACTTAGGGGCAGCTAGGTGGCAGAGTGGATAGAACTCTGGCCTTGGAGTCAGGAGGACCTGAGTTCAAATCCAGTCTCAGACACTTGACACTTAGCTGTGTGACCCTGGGCAAGTCACTTAACCCCACTGCCACACCAAAAAGCATTAAAAAATGCAAGATATTAGACAACTCTAAGACTACCTACAGAGAAGGTGCAGATCTGCATTGTTAGAGAGTTTCTTCACCTAGGAGTTCCCTATACCAGTGAAATCACAGGTTCAATCCCTATCCCTGTCCAAGATATACAAAGAATTAGTGCAAGTATACTGGAACAAGAACCACTCCCAAGTAGACAAACAGTCAAAGGCAGTTCTCAAGAGACTATCAAAAACTATCAAAGACCATATGAAAAAATTCTCCAAATCATTAATTTAAAAGATTTGAAACAACCTGAAAGTTGCACCTCATACCTAACATGCTGGCAAAGATGACAGAAGAAAGAAAAGTAAAGTTTGTTGGAGAAAATATGGGAGGACAGAGACATTAATATATTGTTGGTGGAGCTGAGAATTAATCCTACCATTCTGGAAAGCTGTTTGGAATTACTCCCCTGTAGTAACTAAATTGTGCAAGACCTTTGACCCAGAAGCATCACTACTACAAATACACCCCAAAGAGACCAAAAAAGAAAGAACTCGTGTATACAGAAATATTTATAATAATACTTTTTTACTGCATCAAAAAAACAAAAAACAAATAACTAGCAGCAAAGCAAATACCCATCAATTAAAGAATGGCTGGACAAATTATAGTATATGAATGCAATGGAATATTATTGTGCCTTAAGAAATGACAAAAGGGACAGTTTCAGAGAAACCTGGGAAGACTTATGTATGAATTGATGCAGAGTCAACTTAGCAAAACCAGAAGAACAAGATATATGACTCAACATTGTAAAGGAAAACAACTGTGATAGACTTTGGAACTTTGATCAATGCAATGACCACTCAGAATTCTAGATGACTGGTGTTGATTCCAGCTTCCTGACTCTTGGTAGAGAGGTGTTGAGCTAGAGGGGCAGAATGAAGCATACATTTTCAGTGCATGTATTTTCAGTTTTCAGTGACCAGTGTGTGGATTCATTTTGTTTGACTGTACTTATTTGTTACCAGGGAGGACTCTTGGGGGAGGGAGAAGAGTTAAAAGAGAGATTAGATTTGAAAAACTTACAAGTTAGAGCTATCCCAAAGGTGGAAGGGAGAGCTTGTGCAAGTAGAGTTCTCCACTACTGGAGGGCTTTACTTAGAAGCTAGATGACTACTGGTCAGAAGTGCTACAGAGGTAAAATGCTGCCCAGGAATGGGCTGGACCAAGTGATCTGTGAGGTTCCTTCCAACTCTGAGATTCATTCTATCATTCTATAAACTGAGTAGCTGATAGCTGGTAGACTCCCAAGGCCTTACTATATACCTCAGCTCAGCCTGTTCCTGCAGCTAACTCCCCTGTGTATTTTGGAAGCCTTGCTGCAGTTTGTTCTGAAGCATGGCCTTGGCTCCTTCATCCCTGGAGTTGGCCCTAGGGATGGGACTGAGAGACATCTAAAGATAGAGAAGCAGCTGGCAATATGCTTAAGGGTGAAATATTTTCCTTAAAGAGATAAAAAGAAATACATCTTCCTTATGATAATGAGGATGACTAATATTCTGTTCCCATAATCAGAGTCAGGCAGTCCTGATAATTCTGTATTTGCCATCACCAGATGATAATCCCCAAGAAACGAGTGAGGCAGAACTGGCCCTGTGGTGGCCCAGCCATAGCATTCAAGATGCACTATGAGCAGTTTCACTTTAGCAATCGTGCTCTCGTGGACATCAGAGTGAAAGCAATTAAATAAATAATATTAATGATGATGATGACTTAAATAGCCTACATAGAATACTGATTTTCTCAGAGGAAGAACATATGTAATAAAAGTAAATCTCATATGTATACATTAAAATAAAAACGAAAGACTTAGGGCTTCAAGCTCTCATTTCCATCTCTCTGTGAGAGCCATGAATGAGTCACCAAACTCAGTTTTCTCACCTGTAAAATGGGATAACACTGGGCTATTTTTTTTCCCAGGATTGTAGGAGGGTACTAATTTACTAATAAATCCTTGTGAAGTTCTTCATAAAAGCAAAATACTGAAAACCTTGGCTACAAAAGTGCCTGATCACAACACTAAACGGCTGCTGTCTATACTGGGGACAGACCATACTTGTGAAGACAGAGATCAAGTTTTGGGTCGGGGCAAAAGCATCTTTCTAAATCTTTTGTGTGAACTATCAGTCTCCATTTCATGACTTAGAGCTCTACCCTATCACATTGTCTTAGGACTTACTTTACTAGCCTTAGAGTATCTTTGCGGATGTTGATTAGGCTTCTCAGTGTCTTCACAGGTTCTTGGGGAGGTGGGGCTGCATAAGGAAACTGGATTGAAGACAAAACAAGAGAAAAGTTTGGTTACAAAGCTTATCTGGCTCACTGTGCATTAGTTCAAAACTTGGAGAATTAATCAAAACAGTCTCCTGAAGTTCTAAGTGCCTCAGTGAAACACTATAGCTGGTTAATCATGAAAGGCTTTTCCATTTGACCTTAGATGTCAAAGAGCCAGACACACATGTCTTTTCCTTCAGAATGCCACATGGTGCCTTAGGAATTTAAGAACTGCAAATAAAGGGAACCGTATCCTGTGTACAAAGCTGGGGCTTTCAAATAGTGAAGTAAAGGTTTTGGCTTCAGCTGATCGTGAAAAAGCTATGTTCTTCAAAACCGTGGGACAGCAGTTATTTTTGGAGGAGGCAAAGGTTTGAGGTGATCTTCATCATCTCCCTTCACCATTCCCTTAACTATCTATCTTCTGCTGGCCTCTACCTCCGATGTTGGAGATCTGGATTAGTGATAATAGGGGAAAAACAAGAAAGGAAAATGTGAAGCAAAAATGACAAATTTATTTAAAATTGAACACGAAAGTAAGTCAATATTCACAGCTTTGCATGTGTTAACTAGCATTCCTAAGTTTAGTGGACCATACTCCCTCCATAACCACTGATATTGGGGAACATGTTTTATATACATCTTTTACTCCTTTTAGGGGAGAGGTAAACTATAGGGTATTCAAATCTAATAAAATGTTGTAAAAATTTTTTTGCATCTATTATATTTCATTAGTAGCCTTAGAGAAAATCCTAATGGATACCCCTGATAATGAACTCTCAATTATCTTGGATTTTTGGACTTCGAGGGTTATATGACAATTTTTTAATCCTAAATCTAAATTCACAATAATATCCCCGAGAAGAGATATTCCTCCCAATTTCCCAATGTTCTAACAATAAAAAATAATAACAATAATGATGTTCTCAGAGAACTCAAAACAATGATAATATTAGCTTAAGCAAAACATGACTAAGCAGGTAAAACATAATACCATACTAAAAATATTATACACTGAAGTCACATGAATTACTTTGTATTATCCTTTTTAGGGGAGGGCAGCAGAGGGTGATTGACATTGACATTCACATTCCAAATCTCCATTTTAACACTTAATTTGGAGTGTGCTGTAAAAGAAGTATTTATGTACAAGTGCTACCTGAGTTTTTAAACAAAGATAAAAGTCCAAAAAAAGAAAATAATTTAAAAATCCTTCCCGTCCCCCAAGCCAGATTTCTTTTTCCTTTTCAAGGATAAGATCTTAAGTGATACGTAACAGACACGGTCTCTCAAGTTACTCAGCTCCTCAGGAAGGGCATAAATATGAAAGATAATTTCTACTAGAAAAAGTCTGTAACATTTAAATATACTTTCAGAGAGGTGATTTTTCACTCCAGGCCCCAAAACAAAATAAAAATAGGTTCTCAGCTGAGAATCTGCTCAAAATTCCCTGATCCTGTCTGCCACCGTTTTGTGAGGGATGGGGAAGGAGCAAGATCTTCTCCTTATGTGACTATAAAGAAGATTACTAGATTATAAACCCCTAACAGCAGGGATCTTCTCTTATACATACTTAATATATCCTTCCCAGGGCTTAGCATAATGAACTGTATATAGCAGATATCTTGCCTAAATGAATCAGTGTTGAATACAATTTCTTGACAGAGGCAAATGCTCTTTACTTTTCCACATCCAATTAAGCATATTACCATTACTTGAGTGCCCTATTGCTTCTCACTGAACTTGTCCACTTTTCTCAAATGTTCTCCTTGACAAATTCAAGGCTGAAAAATGAACTGAAATACCTATTTCTCCATACACTCTCTATTCTGTCACTAGAAGGAGGAAGCAGCTTCCAGAAGCAGGACAAATGGTAGCAGAGAATGCAGCCAGCTGCAGACTCAAGAGAGAGCTCTTAGCAAAGGCTTTTACCAAATGGGATAGTTAAGAAGAGCAGCTATAAAACATATTCCCCATAATCCTGGAATGTACACTCCACAAATACACAGAACACCTATAGGAATAGTAAGCACAAAGGATTAAAGTGTTAGGCAAATTTAAAGGTAACACATAGAGCTTAGATGACTTCAAATTGTGGCACAGCCCCACTGGGACACTGGCAAAGCCCCAATGTCCTTTCTCCCTTCATTAAGTCTTCCCCCAGGTCCACCTTGTATGTAGCATCTCTGCTCAAAAGGGTGCTCTGTGAGACTCCCACACCATACTCCTCTCTAAAGTTCTATTCTAGATTGCCAGGGTCAGCTTTCTCAAGCTAGCTCTATCCTCTGCTGCTGGCTGCCCTGTTCCTGAAAGCTGCTCCCTCCTCCTAGTGACAAAGTAGACAGTAAGTGAAGTGTCCCTCAGAGTAAATGTCTCCTGACTGATTGTTAACTAGAAACACATTGGTGGGGATTTATAAACTATAGTTTTAGGAATAGCTACTCAGGATACCCAAGAAACTGTCATAGTAGTAACCCTCTTCTGGGGAGGTAGCCCAAAAGGAGTACTCTATAGTCACTCCCTCACTAGAGTCAACATTTAATAAATGTGTTTCCTCAGCCCACTTTCATAGATTCTTCTGCTTTCATTTTATAGTTTAGACATTATGATTTCACCAGTCCTAAGTATACAGATTGAGGGAATAGGTGGTGATGACTTAAAACACATATAAACTCTCTTTCTGGTGCTAGCATGGATGTCTTAAGAGATCTAGGTTAATAATGGAGTAACATTCCTCTTCTCTTATTTCTCCACAAAATAGGCCATTATGCCCACAGATAGTCCAAAGAACACAGGAAAAAACAGGAACAAGCCTTCTATAAGGTAGACCCCAACCTCTCACATTCAGTTGTACGCAGATTTATAGGATGCCTCTTCTCTGCTTCCTATGCATGTGGCTGGAGGTGAATAAGCTATAAAAATGCTGCAAAAAACAAACTATATACAGCTTCTGGAGTTCTTCAGTGCTAATATCATAATAAGGGCAGGCTTTATGTGAAGACTACTGAACAAAATGGATGAAATCCTCTACTAAGTGGCTTGTGGACCAAATCCTTTAGGTCAGTGCCTTCATTCTGGAGCGACACTCGGATTATTCTCGTCAGTCCCATCTTATAGACCCGTGAGCAGGGAAAGGTATCAAAGATAACCCTGTTGGCTTAGTGAAATTTGAGTCACTGCTAACCTAAGGCCTGTCAGTGCCTATCTATGAAAACCACAACCCTTTGCCGTTTCAGAGAAAATAAACAGAAAGCCTCACCCATATCACTGCAGAGATCTTATAGGAGGTTCTGACCACAGGTGGTATTCTAAGAAACAGTATGATAGGAACACAGGGTGTTCAACTAGTTCTATGACTTAAATCACCAGAGGAAAACTTGGTTCAGTTTCTGAAGGCTCCGAAGGTACTTGGGTATCCTTAACCTGTTCTGTGATTAAATGGCTATGGACCACGCGCAACTGCAAAACTACAGTTAAGGCTCCACGACTATTCTGACTCGAATAACCACATCCAGCTTCAGCTATAATTGTTCTTATAACAGCACACAATAAAATCTTTCTTTCTCCCTCCACACATTTGGGCAGGAGGACCCAAGGACTGTAGAATTATTGATTTAGTCATCAAACAAAACCACCTGCTTTTCTTGTAACCACTAACTAGCAACTGCAAAGAAGAAGCAAAGGTACTATATCTTTTGGGGGCACAGCTATATCAAGAGAACAACCACTAGCAGTGGCAAAGAGAACTGATGTGCTGCTACTTGTAGTTCAAACCTTGCCAAGGATGCTCAAATCTGTTTTACAGATAGATGTTTCTAGGTCCCCCAGGTTATCTCTACTACTTCATTTTCAAAGTACAAGCAGGATCTCTTAATTATACTTAGAAAGGGAAGACAGGGTTATAAGCAGAGAACTTGGCATCTGGTCAATAGCATGTTCCAGTACAGCTCTCTCCTGGGGCTATAGTGCAGTGTCTATACTGGCAAAAAGCCCAGCCCAGATCCCGTCGACAGCTGCATTCAGGTGGGCCCAAGCCAGTACAGTACTTAGTCCAAAGCAGCACATTTTTGACTGACTCATGACAGCCATCTAGTGCCCAAAAAAAAAAAAGGGCTGGTCTATACTTCATCATCACTATTATCATCATAATAGCAATTCACATCTACATAGTGATTTAAATTAAGTGTCTACTTCATGCCAAGAACTAAGCAAATACAAAGTCAACAAGTCAACAAGTATTTGTTAAACACTGACTGAGTGTCAGACAGTGTGCTAAGTACTGAGGATACAAAGAAAGGCAAACAACGGAAAAACAAAAACAAAAGCAGTCCCTGCTCTCACAGAGCTCACTATCTACTGGGGGAGACAACATACAAACAAGTATATATATATACAAAACAAAATACATTACAAGATAAATTGAAGATAATCAACAGAGGGGAGGTACTATGATCTTGCAGAAGGGGAGACTTTAGCTGAAACCTGAAGGAAGCTGGGAAAGCCAAAAGGTAGAGAAGAGGAAGAAGAGAGTTCCAGACATGGGGCACAGCCAGTGAAAATGTCTGAAATCAAGAGATGGAGTCTCTTGTTTGAGAAATAGCAAGGAAATCAGTGTCACTGGATTGAAAAGTACATGAGGGATGGTAAGGTGTAAGAAGACTACAAAGGTAGAAGGAGCCAGGTTATGAAGGGCTTTAAAAGTCAAACAGAAGGTTTCATATTTGATATTGAAAGTGACAGGAGTTTAGGAAGATCAGTCTGACAGCTGAGTGGAAGGTAGACTGGAGTGAGGAGACAGCCTTGAGTCAGGGAGACCAAGCAGTAGGCTATTGCAATAGTCCACGGGTGAAGTGATGAAGGGCAACAGATAGGAAAAGAGGGAAGGGAGGGATGATAGTGAGTAGTCGAGAATGGCACGTAGGTAGCAAGCTTGGGTGACGGAGAGGACTGGTACCTTTGATAATAATAGGAAAGTTGGGAAAAGGACCGGGTTT